AACAATCCGACCAGGAAAGCGGAAATATATATGCAGATTACGACAACAATCCGAATGCCCTATGTTCCCAGTAAGAAGGGGATTTGGAGGCTGATTTTGGCCGTTTTAGGGCTTCCGAGGACCATTCTAGAATTAGTTAACCTTTCCGAATTTCCACTTTCCGAACGCAAAATCCGAATTTCTGACTTTCCGAATGCATATAATTATTTATTTATTTATTTGGATCATTACCTTGGACTACGGTATTCGGGAAGCTCATCAAGAGTGCTGATATCAGAATGGTTTGACAGAACCGGATCATCTCTGTTTAGAAGAGTGAAAAGCTCTGTGACGTGATGTGACGTCATGGTCATGAGCCGTCAAACCTCTTGCCCGAACGGACGAACGAGCGCAGGAAAGAACTGTGTTCTGGTTGTTAAGAAAGAGGATACAGGACTTGAACAACCCATGCAGAATTCCGTCTCTGAAATCCTTATCGCCAACTACTACCCTACTACACAAGAATCCCCCACAAAATCGGGAGGGGACCATACGAGGTGCAGATCAACCTGCCAGAGTGGGAACAAGGAGGAGCGGGACAGGAAAGCAGCTGAGGCGGGGGCCTGTTGGACATTGGTGACAACACTCGGTACATAAATCAGATCGACGGTTTAATCACTGGATTCTGCGCGATCTCGACAGCCGGACAGCCTCCGATCGGACTCACGGCCCCGAGCCTCGAATACCAAAGCCCAGTGACATAAGCAATTTCCCACAGCCTCCCGCCTCAGCTTCTTTCGGGTACCAATTCTCCTTGCCCCCACTCTGCCAATTGTTTGGATGTACACTTCCTGCCCATACGGTACCCTTTGCACGCTCAGATCGATCAATATTCAAAATCATCAGCCATGCTCGCTGCGGAGTATAGCAAACCTGGTCGGAAGAATGTCGAGACGACGTTCTTAAGCGACTTCTCTTTGGGGAGCAACTGTCTCAGATCTCAGTGACTCGGGCCAAACAAGCAGACAACAGTCATAAAGGCAGCTGGCTACCTTCAGCCTTCAGCCTACCTGCACTGCTGCGCAGCATCGCACTGTCGAGACTCGCATTCCGGATCGCTGCATACTAGGGGCTGGTACGTGCTTGAGGAGGAGGGTGTGAAGCGCGGATCCTGTAACAAAAACCAAGGCTTCTAGGTGTCCTTTTCGATCCAACAAAAGTTCCGTAGAATCGACTGGCGGTCCCGATGCTGGGCCAGAGAAGACAACTTCTAGAAAAGAAGAAAAGAGGACAAAGGAGAGGATATTAGAATGAGAAGCTCAGACCGCCAGGTGTGACCTTGAAAAGTAAGGAAACTAACTACGTTCTTGAATAATCAGAATATATTTGTATCGTAGTTTATATAAATACGGTAGTTGAGACTGATTGTCGGATTCCGTACCCCAGACCGAAGCTCTGCAACTCACAGACCCTCAGCCCTCAAACTGCTGACTGGCGGCTTGCAACAAACAAACTCTAGTAGGCATAGCAAGCGCGCTTGCAGCTCAGCAGCTCAGATTTTTTAGAATCTGAATCGCCAGAGCCGTCCAAGGTGGTGATCGGCCGACGAAGCGGTGCCGTCCGCCAAACCTGTACGACCACTTTAAGATGCGTCCTTGAACAGGGTGACGACATTGAGAAGGGATGAGGACACCTACCGCATGCTGTCCGCAATGTGTGCACGTAGAGCATGGGACATACGTGACGGTGCTCCCAGTGTCAACAATCAATGCAAAGTCTTGGGGGGGGGTGCCGAGTCGGACTGGCACGTAATAATACCTGTGAGGAAAGCATGAGAAAAGCAGATCGGACAGGATGGCCGGGATGACTTAGAGTGAGTAGCAAGATGACCTAGGCAAGACCCAAGCGAAAGCCTCCCTCAAATGTGTAACTCGTACTTTCAGGGTTTGTCTTCAAGGAAGCCGCAGCAATTGATCAGTTGACACAGGAGCTGTGCTGACTCCTTGAAACCTCCATTGGTGCAACAGCAGCTAACCGAAAACCTAAGACTAGCTAACTTTGGAGGCACTTGGGCTACAGTCGAGGAGACACAGCTTTTAAAGATGGCGCCAACTTCAACTTGTTTCAAGTCAGCAATAACACAGGTCTGCACCAATCGCAAGCAGAAGCAAGAAAGTGCTTGAAGACCTGACCCTTGAGTCAGGCGACGAAACCCTAAAATGACTGCTTTTAAAAGAAAACCCATGAATTTTGGTGACCAGCTGAACATCAACCTCAGATGCTGAGGGGGAAGGCATACTTCTAACGGGTTAGTAAGGTGCATTTCCAAACTTCAGCCGGGGGAGGGGTTATGCGACCGATTCTGCCTGGTTGCAATTTAGCTGTGATAGAAGTCAGCGATCCAGCTCACATTTTAGAGGATTCTGAAATGCAAAGATAACACTCTCCTGCAGCTTGGTTCAATACAATTGCATAAAGAGCATCACATACCTTTTTTGACTGCCCTCAATCTCCAACACAAAGTACGGACTGCTCAGAAGACTCACCCCCGTTTTATAACAGAGCCGTAGATCTTCATGTCTGCCTCTCCAAGCAGCCCCCTCCTCTCCACGTCTTGCGCCCTAGCATGATGCAATTCCACGCCTTTGTATTGCAGACCCAGCTGCAGACTGCTTGACAGACTGGCATTTCCAATTATACTGCCGGTGACATGGGCGGTTCCAAGGCAGCAAATTACGACCAACAGCACCCATGCTTGCGAAGGAACCACGTGCCAATTGGGCGCCATCTTCGGGGTGCTCACACTTGTGGAGAGTACTAGAGTTTCATAGCTCAGTCTGATGGGGGCAAGCTTCAAAGAACTGCATGATCTGACTGCAGCTATCTCTGCTTTCCTTTTGCAGCTGCCCCTGCTGCCTGTACGTTTGTGCCCTGGCCCTGGGCCTGGGCCTTGATTCTGAAGATTGAAGTTGAAGAACTTTGTGTGCTTGTTGAAATATTCAAAGGTTTGATCTGATTCTTATATGGAGTCCGACGACATATTGAATCAAAGGCCCATAAGACGAGCAACAACTCCTCTATTATATTGCGATTTGGCTGCTGTTGTCATTGACCACTCCCCCTCGTTCCAGGAAATCCCCCGGTGTCGTCACCGGGGAAAGTCTGTTGCGCCAGAGTCCAGACGATTCGCTTATACCGTACTGGGTTGCCCCGCCCCCAAGGAAGCTGTGCCCGGAATATATATACCTTTAAATTTTAATCAACCTTGGCCGGCCACAGGCTCTGATCGCCCTTTGGAGAAGCTCAAAGGAGACTGTCCAGAGCTTGTGCAGGGTGCAGGCATCTTGTTGAGTAGTCAAGGTGGTGGTGGTGGTCTCTGAAATTTGAAAAGCAAACGTCGATCACCTAAGTTAGCTGAGATTGGGCAGCAATTTGCGCTGGACCCGACCCGCGTTCATTGGTTGTGAAGCGCCGACCCCTTCTTGGGCGCTAGGTCGCTCGCAATGGGGAATGTCAAATCAATCTATCTTATTCTGTACAACATGATCTTGGCTGGAGGGTGGTAAGTGACTTGGTGGAACTTTCTGCGCTAGAAAATTGGTCAATGCGGTAGAAGGTGCACCAGATGTATCAGCGTTCTCAAGCCATGGATCAAAATTCGGCCGGGTTCAAACCTTTGATTCATTTAGATGGGGCCATGGTGTCCAACGGTCTAGAAGTCTTCTCAATTTGCGTTCGCATTGTAAATGAAATTCAACAGCTGTTGGGGCGATGCGTGGCTGATCGTATAAAGCAAGGTTGGAACGTCCTTAAGAGCGTCAGCTCATATCAAAACAGTACATCGAGCAACCATCATGTTCATCAAAGGCAATTTTGGGTCAGAAAGCACATCCAACAATCAGAAACTGTATGGTAGAAGCAAAGCACCGAAAAAGACAGGCGGCTGAGAAGCGCTTGCATTTTTATGCAGGACTCTTGTTCTTGTAAAGGCGATTGAGGCGCTGCGGACCTCAGGCCCCGAAACGTGCATTGAGGCGTGCATCCCGGCCCTGCAAGTCTTCCAGACGCTTGCCATTCTTGAGGTGAGCTGTCTTTTGCAAATAGATTCTCCCAGAAAGCAAGGTACAAAAACCTTCCTACGGAAAAGTACTGTATCGCTGTTTATGGAGTGATGAAGGCTTGTGATTGCAGGGTCTGTAAGATAGCATGGAAGCAACCTTGTCAACCTCATGCTTATGTGCTAAGAGTGAAAGTGCCAGGTGCGAAAGTAGAGGAGAAGAAAGAAAAACATGAGCGGTCACGATCCTTAGGCTTGATTGTCTTTGTTGATGCACCTTGCGGAGTTATGACTGTACAGACAAACCCATGAGACGTTCGAGTGTCTGGTTGCATCTTGTACGGCGCTTGGAAAGAGATACAGTGAAGTCGACCATGAAGACTTGTTTGTCTTTGGATGCAGATCTTCCACAGCCTCTTCGGTGAGTTTGCTGGCTGGGCGCCGTTCATATGCTCCTTTCTTCTTTGAGCTGTGATCGTGTCTTACAGACAATTTACAATGTGAAATTTTATGGTACTTCAAAGTCCTCATGAGACTACAGTAGCGGGGTTGGATCTAGTTAGCTTTGTCCTTAGCCTTGTTTAACCCCAGCTCTTTGGTATGAGCACCGCAGTGTAACGTTATGCTTCACCAGCTCAAGAATCATCTTTGGACCTGCCCTAGTTGCTGTATTTTGAGATATGCTCTTGAAGTGATATCTCAACGAAAGCGTGGTACAATGGAAAGTGAAGCTCGTTGAAGAAGTTGCATCATTATCACGCTTGCGTTTACCACTCCAAGAGCCGGTCAATGCCTCTGGCGTCCTGCCTACGAAACCTCTCATCGGGTCACCTGCGGGACCAGATGTTTACGAGAAAACAGATTCCGCTGAGTATAAAGATCCCAAGTGTTGAGCACCCTCATCAGCAGAGTATATTACCAGTGGCAGGATGGGCCCAAGTCCACTCCCATGCTGTTCCTCCTAGGATCAACCTACCGGGTAGAATAGCTTCAATCACTGTATGTTAGTACCAGAAAGAAAAGCTGGTGGCATTGTCAGAGAGATGGAGACCTTCTTGGCAACTCTGTATCTATCACGATGCAGTGGTCGAAGCAGAATGACCACAGGTTACAGATGGGAGCCGACCTCAGCTTTACCGTGACACACGCATATTCTCTCTTTGCAGGTATTGTGCGCTCGCCTCTCTTTTCAAACATTGTCCAGGTTTTCTCGCGAGTCTTCGTATTGTGGGCCATCGTATACAGCTTCCCGGAGGTGAGGACTGGAATGGACTTCGAAACCTGGCAGACCTGGCGTGAGTTTGAGGTTTCCTAATCGGACCTAAACATAGTTTGAAAGCATCTCTCGCCATCCATCTCTTGCGAATTTGGGAGGGAAGCGTTTCTTGTTCTGGGTACCATAAGTTTCAAACGGGATGCGTCCTGTGCTTGCTTCAGTTCCCGTGTCTATGATTGACTTGGAACCCCACTCACAAGGCTTGACAGAGAGGAGGCTTTTTAAGCTGATACACAAAACGGCGCTGAATTACTAACGGAAGCGACTCCCGTGGTTGCTCTCGCTCTCAGAGAGGAGGCTTAAAAGCTGATTCACAAAACGGCGCTGAATTACTAAGGAAGCGACTCCCGTGGTTGCTCTCGCTCTCTTCTTCGGCATAGGTGAACGCAAAGAGTTTGACCGCTTGACCGAGGTCGATTCGAAAGAAAATCGTGTCTGAAGACACGCCAGACAGAAGGCAAGTCTGACAGCCCGAGACGCTTGATTGCAGGTACGGACGTCCGTTTTCGGATCCAGCCTGTGCATAGCTTGGGCGTTGAGCGAGGTGAGCTTCTTCTTGACACATCCGGGCTGCGTGATTGTCGAACTTTTTATCCATTTACCGCTAAATTTAAAGCTGGACAGTCGCGAGACTTCAAGTCTAGGGACGCTCTCTTGACGCAAATTTTCTCCGTTAACCGGCCCAGAGTACAAAAAGCGTCGCCGTAATTTTGAAGCTCACACTCCCTCTGAACATAGGCCTTTCGGCCAGCTTGCTGGTTGAACTTCCTCCGCAACCTTTGGCTTCTGAGTTTTTTGTGCATTCGCTTGCTGCGCTGCGTAGATGGTGAAAGTCAGGGTTCTTTGTAAAATTGTGCGCCGTCGGAAGTCCAGCCTTTGTCACCCAAAGAACGCGTTCGGTTCGTAAAGGTGGCACGCGCAATAATCCCAAGGGTAATTGCAAGATCACAACGTTTAATGCAGTAGCGTCGAAGTTTCGTGATTTTGGCAAGGGCACGGAATGACCTTCGACTTGCACCTGTGCAGATCATCCGGTATGTCTTCTACGCGCTCAAGGAGGCTCTCGGGGAGGCTCCGTACATTGTCTTGTGGCTCCGGTGAGCAGCCCGCTTCTCTAGTTGCTTTTGTCCGCAAAAGCCACCGTTGCTTCTCTAGTTGTTCTGTTCGCAGAAACCAATTTTGGTTCGAGGGCTCTGTTAGTATTGAAAGAGAGCATAGGACTGGACGGGAGTTGGAATACTGGAAACGCTGAGCTAGCCTCGGGCGCGAGGACTCGTCTGAAACTTATGTAACTCTCAAGGTTTCTCGATGGGCTGACAAAGGGCTGCCCTTCGAGGTTCGTGAAGCTCCTGGTTGGAGGCAACTTCTTCTAACAGATCTTTAATAACCTATGAGCGGAGCACAAAGTTGCCCCAGATCCTCAGAGATCCCCTCTCATACCAAGAGCCCAGGTGGATTCAGAATAGCAGCCTCGACCGCGTTTTCCGAAGGGTCAAAGCTTAGGGAGCTAATGAGGATCAGCCGAGAGCCGTGTTCGGTCCACCCGTTACATCACCCGTTCCCTGTTCGCCGTTCCCGGCCAGCTTATTCATTCGAACCCCTCCTTTTGCCAACAGCTTCATGAATAGGAAGGTCCCTGAAATATCAATTTTTAAAAGGTCATCTGTAGCACGTCCATTGATTCGAGGTTCGTGCATGCGTCCCAAGATTCTACCTTCTGATTCTTCTGGAAGAATGTTCTGAACCTCTTTCTTACCCCCCTAGAGGCACTCTTTGTGCTTGCGAACGCTCCTGCTCCGTGCAGCCAACAGACCTTTCGCCCATCACTCTGTAAGCGAGAGTCGTAAAGCCCTCACGTCGGGATCCCTCCTTTGTAATGCCCTCATATTATTGGGAAACTCAAAGCTGGCCCCTTACTTTTCAGGTACACCCTGTTTATCGTTTTATACCCGGTGGGAGCGGGTAGCGAGGTGGTGCTCACAGTTTTGGCGCTGCCGTTCGTTGCGGTGAGGCTTAGCTCCCTTCCGGCCATATGCACGCTGTGTCTTCGTTCCCTATTTTCTCCTTACCTTCTGCTTCTGGAAGTTTTATGGTCTTTCACAGGGGTTCTACGATTCGTCCTCTTCTTCAAGCTTCGAGTCTTCTTTAAACCCCTTCAGTTGGCATTTGGTTCTTTCTCCTGATCCCTTTGATTTCACTGTTGAATCTTAAGCCGATTTGATCTTTTCAACAACGCAGCATCGTCAGGATTTGCAAGAATATGTAATTTCCGGGTGCGAAGCAATACGACTTGTTGGGGTCAAAGTGCAAGCTGGTGTACTATTCGAGATGAGGTTGACGTTTTCTCTCATAGTTGCAAAGGAGGCAATGTGGGCGCTGCTTTAAAGGCTGTTGAGTCCTGTTTAATTACGTTGATCGTGTCATTTTAACCTTGAAGATGAGCGTGCTATCGGAGATCAACTCTCTTTGTCCAAATGATGCAAAGCGTAGGTCGAGGCGCTTTTCGTACTCGTTTGGAGACCCTGTTAACCCGAAGGAAAAGGGAGCCTTGCTTAACATTCTTTCCTGCTTTTACTGGGAATATGTCGGTCGAGATGCATTACTTCTTGAAGTTCTCGAGGATTCTTCCGCTAACTGGCACTCTTGCCTCCCCTCGCGCCGTCTAATCCCGTCACTTCCGTCTACAGGCGTCCAAAAAGTTCAGCTATCCGATGCCGAACCGGTTGAATTTCGCCTTCGACTTCTACCCGGTCGCATGCGGGGTCCTCTTCAGCTATCTTTACGGTGAGGCGCGCCCGAACCTGTTCAAATGCATCTCGTTCGGTGATAATCAACCGGTGGACGCTTCTTTCGCTTTGAGCTTTTGTTGCACGCGTTATGTTTTCGCTCACCGACACTAACAGAGAGAGAATGTGTCACGGTTCTCGGTCTATAAGACTCTCTGTCCTTTCTCTTCGCTGCCAGTTCTTGTTCAAAGGACACTTTCCGTCGCTTGTTGTTCCCCTTTTCGTGCCTGCCACTCTCGGGATCCCTAATCTGCAAGCGTGGACAAAAGGTACCGACTCTTCCGTTGGGAAAGGTTACCTTTTATTAGGAGAATTATACATAAGCAGATGCCGGACTGCTTCATGTGTGCTTCAAATTGCTTTTCAACTTCCCTCTGTCATCAGTTCAGCCATAAGCTTCAACTTTATCCAGCCATAAACCTCTAAAGACGAACCTATTTCGACCTAAGGCTTCACGGTAACTTTATTATGGTGTCGCCAAAGTCTGGTGGCGGGTTAATGACTTCCAGCCGGTGTGCAGCTGATGCACCTTTTCATCATTGCAGGCTTTCCCTTCATGTACACACACATGTTGGTCCAGCGAAAGAAGGCTTTGGGTCCACCTAAGGCCTCCCCAACGAAGAAACAGTCTTGACGCAGCCCTGGCTTGTGCAGCTCCGAGCTTGTACCGAAGGTCCGCATGCAAATAACAAAATCGTCAAACACACCGGGCGCTGTGCTCCTCAAAAGATGCGGAACTCCGTGAACCTAACTTGCTTTCAAATTACTGTGATGGCTTGGGCTCGCGTCCGGTAACATGCAAGCGCGTCAAAAGAGAATGATGGACAGTGCACACGAGATCGTCGTTCTTCATCCTTTGTTGGCTTTAGCACACACGAGTCATAACACGTTGGAGCGTTCTCTGAACCGTATGAGGACATATGGCCACTTGTTTAAATACATCGCAATCCAAAGGCTTTAGTAACACTGTGCATGTATGCAATGATGATCTGATCGGATCACGTTGTATCGAATCAACTCCAGACGCATCCGAGTACTCGTCATTGCATGTCAGGGCACATCGCATCATCCGAGCTGGCGGCCGATGTAATCAGACCGTAATTATAATCGAGTTTACACGTACATACGCTGCGTACAAAGTGGCCACTATGGCCCCATGCCCGCGTGCCAGCAGGCCGGATGCTTGTACTCGTCACGATGTGATTGTAGACTAACGAATTGTAATATATATGACGATTTAAGCTGACCGTGTATATGTTCTTCCACACAATGAGTATCACAAGTGCGCACAGCGTATGTGACTAGTTAAGTGCACATGTTTGATTGACTCAAGCACCACGCAGACTGCTGTCTGCCAGCAATCGGTATTTTCATTGCGATTGACAGCGGCCGGTTTACCGCACTCAGTCCGGTCGAAGCCACTATGTTACTTAAGTAAGATGATCATGATTGACAGGTTTATGACCGGTCATGGCGCGGATGAGCACATTGAACGCATTGATGAAGTAGAGTAGCTGTGGATGTTACCGTGGCTGCCATACCTGTAATTTTATTTTGCATATCGTGCACAGCAATGATTCCGCGGGCATGGTACTGTCGAACATGCAACAAATTAGCATGCGATCGAGTCGTATATGGATGTGATTGAAGAGCTGACTCGCGTTTATCCCAAGTCAAAGGTGTACGCATACAACATAATCAGACATGGCCCAGCATTGTATTGAAAGCACCTCGCAGATCAGTCTTGATTTATCCCATTGAAGACTACAGTTTGTGTTGACTGCATAGCGCAGGTTCCATCAGCATACAATGCGCGAATTGGGGTGGTGCTGCGGAACTTGACAAAGAGAAAGGTTCTACGACGAAAATTATTGGCGGCAGGTTGAAGGAATGCTTGCAAAAGACGTAGCTTCGAGTCGACCTGTTGTCAATAATTGTTTTCAATAGAATTGACATTACTACTTTGGTCCATCTTGCCGTCCGTCTCAGATAAAATCGTTCTTTGCTCAAATCCAGGACGGGCCAGACAGGTAAGGATTCCCCACCTCGACTTAGAAGTACCGCTATACTCCTCTATGTCTCTCGGCGACGCTTCCACAGGAGAGTGTGTCAACCTTACAGGCTACGCGCTGCCTTAACTAGTACCGACACTAATCATTTTACAGTTTCGGGTACACCGCTTGCAACCCTCATGCAACCTACAATCAATATGGTCGTACGAATTCCCAACTCCCCAACTCTTTTCGACTTTGTGCTCAGAAATTAACCCTTTGTTTCAGAAATTAACCCTTTGTCGCCTTCTTGGACGATTGCTCCTTGAGGAAATACCCGATCAACACAAGCCCCGAGACCGCCGAAAGCACCCCAATCGCGACGTCAAGCCCCACAGATCGTCCGGTGATCGCCTCGAAATGGAACAGCGAAGTTGTGTTGGTCTGACCGTAAGCAATCGGGTCACCCGCTGCGTTCAAAGCGTAGATGCGGAAGCGGTAAAATGCTCCTGGCAGGTTCTTCTCGAGTTGATAGTTGACGGTGGTCGTGCCGTTCTTCCATGGCTGCAAGAAGCAAGAATTAGGGGTTAGTAAGAGCTTGCACTTTCATGATGCTGCGCGTATGCCAAGCAGGACAGGGCAAATTCAAGTGGAGTCTTCCAACGCTTCTTCGGGCTTTTAAGATAATTTTAAGGGTGATCTGGGGAACACTGTTCTTCAAAAAGCGGCCCCAGTAACATGGAAGCGGGCTGGAAACTGCACAACTACAAAAGATAGGAGTAAAAGTGACGACACCCAGGCAGCATATGAATTTCTGCTGTGGAAATTTGACAAGGTAACACCTCTTGGTCAGTCCAAAGCAGCCCCTGCACTGGCGTGCAGAAAGTTTTTAAAAGCACCCTTAAAGGACAGTCCCATCACACAATCTCTTCGACAGCAACAAGAGATGGGGGGACAATCTTCCTCTCTACTCTTTAGCCTGGAAGTAACGAAACCCAGTAGACTCAGATTTTGCACAAAGCAACCCAAGCACAGAGAACCTACAGCAACCACCAGATCGATTCTTCGACTGAATTACAGAGTGTGAACTTAGCAAATCCTGCCAGCGCTCTGCTGCAATGCTAGTAGAAATAGTACGAACAAGACATACAAAGACTCTAATCCAAAAGGTCAAACGAGGCGTACAAGCCAGCTAGAATGTTGCGCAAGCAGAGATTGACAGGAATATAAAACGCGCTGTTCAGCGCTCACATTGAAACTATCAACCATCCTCACTCAGGATCTAGGGCCTCCCAACAGTCTGATTAATGCTATGTAGTGCAGAAGCCAGTCTTTCATGGGCAGTAAAGTCAGCTAGCCTTGGAATCTCATGTATTCCTAGCAAACACCCTTGCCTTGGACTCATCAGGGCAATCGAAAACATACCAACTACCAGGTCATTCCAAGTGAGAAACCACCTTTGAAGCAATACAAGGTGGTCCTCTTACCTCATCAATGATCTTGTGCTTGCACAGCCGGTCAAGCTTGATGTCGTCGATCGACTTCCTCCACCCCCGGTTGAGAGCACTTTTGGGCCCAAAGCACAGCTTCACGTGCACCGATGTGAACTCGGGCAGCAGCCTGGCGGCAGTGGGGAGCGCGTTCCATGAGACCTGGATGAACTCGTCATACTTGACCGTCTGGTTGACAAGTGGCGACGTGGTGTTTGTCTGAGGGTTGTACTTAGACCCCCTCACGGCGATGGTAGCATTGCCGAGCGACCTGAAGGATACGCCAGCGGAAACGAGAGACGGGAGGACGCAGAGAGCGAGGGAGAGCACAAGGAGCTTCTGGCACGCCATTGCGTATGCTTGTCTCAAATCTGGAGCTGGGATGCTCTGAGAATGAGAACTATGCTCGGATCTTCTGCGCTAAAGGTGGATCTGCAAAGGGATGCTGTTGTCAGCTGATCCCTGTCCTTGTTGTTCGTCTGTTGTATACCGAACCAAAGAATGCCGTTGCTCTGTTTGTCTGTTTGAAGTGCTGACTGCACCTTTTGTATGTGGAATCCTCTGAGGCTGAAGGTGTCTGCTGCTAATGAACTGCAAATTCTGCAAAGAATGGCGGCGTTTGAAAGCGCTGCAGATCTCTCGAAGTTGAAGGGCCCAAGCTAGGAAGTGAGGGCATTGTGACTCGTGAATGTCGTCTTGCGCAACAAGAGAGCTTGTGTCCCTCTCTTGCAAGTTGCGCTCCATTTCCAGCCTTCAAAAGTGACTCACAGCTTTCGCAGGGGCCGAAACAGAATCGAAGTGCCGTCCCAATATGACGTCATTCACCTCATGGAGCACGTGGTTTCCGCAAAGCTTGCTGCCACCGTCGATTGCAGGCAACGCAACACTTTGGACGGCTCGATGGCTGCCCTTGAGTGGCTCTTGGGAACTCGTGGGCTCCGGCGACTCCACCGTCACCAAATCTGTCAGACTGTGCTCATTGATGTTTGATGACTTGAAGGCCGTCGATTTCGATCGACTGTACAGCAGGGTCCGTACGGTTGCTGTAAGTGCGCGAGCACCTATAAAGTGCACGCGCGCAAAAGCGGCCGCGAAGCACCAACATGATGATGCGCTTCTCGTTTGGAGGTTTTGGCGGGAATGCACCTTCTGAGGCTTCAAGTCCGAGTCCGGCCCGTCAAGACACAACTTCAACTTCGTGCAAGAAGTTCTTTGAAGTTTGCTGAATGCGCTGTTCTTTGAGCTCATTTTCTTTCGTCAGCTGCCCCTAGAGTCAATCTGCAGGATCTCAGCATATTAGTATAGGATTGTCATTCTTCAAGGACGGCAAACACTTTGTTTCCACACATATGAGGATTTGGGGGTGAAACGGCGGCAGAACTTGAATACTGTACCACGGCAGATTATCTCCTATCAATGCACCGAAAATGGCTCTCAATGCTGGCGGCCAATTGGTTAGGACTCATGATTGCTCCATCCTAAAAATTGCTGGTAGCAGAGTAAGTGAAAACGGCTCGAATACAAGAGGGCTTCGTTTGAATAGCTCAATCTCCCCTCAGAATCAACACCACTGCTGTTACGCCCCAAAAATCTCACCCTCTGGTGTGGCAAATCTGCGCACTGCGCCGATTAACAATGCTAAGCGTCCCAAGCTCGACCGCCATCACCTCCAAAAACATGCATTACTGCGCACCGGCTTTGCACAAAAGAACCGTCTATTTCAAAAGCACGAGCAGAAACCCAAGTTCCCACCGCGCAACCCAGTCCCGCCTCGCGCGCTTCTGAAACCCTTCATCTCCCAGGCCGCCACTGACAAAACCATCCAGCTGCCCATCAATTACTACCAGGCGCTCCAAGCCGACAAGTCATCGCTGCCCGAGAAGATTGTGAGGGCTTATGAGGCTCGAGTGCGTGAGGTGCCGGGGGATGGGGCTCCGTACAGCAAGTCGGCGCTGGCGGCGCGAGAGGAACTTTTGCTGGTGAGTAGTGATTAGTTGATTCGTGTTTAATGTAAAATTCAACAACAACCACCGCTTAGCCCCTGTTCTACGGTCAGCCCAGAAAAAGTCTGCTTCTTTGCATGAGCCCTTAAATCTTAGCGGCGATTGGTTGATTCATGTTTGATGTAAAATTCAACCACAACAACCACCGCGTGGCCCCTGTTTTACCGGCAGCCCAGAGAAAGTCTGCTTCTTTGCATGAGCCCTTTGATCTTAGCGGCGATTGGTTGATTCGAGTTTAATAAAATCCAACAACAGCCACCGCGTGGCGCCTGTTTTACCGTCAGCCCAGAGAAAGTCTGCTTCTTTGCATGAGCCCATCAAACTTAGCGGCGATCGGTTGATTCATGTTTAACAACATCCAACAACAACAACCGCTTAGCCCCTTTTTTACCGTCCGCCCAGAAAAATTTTGCTTCTTTGCGTAAGCTGTTAAATCTTCAGCAATACAACATTATCGGATTAAGCCCTGCGGTGGTCAAGACGAGCGTTTCTGGTGCTACTGGTGGGTAGTCATTTGTTATATCCATCTGGATGCTGGCACTGAAGCGAGACTCAATGGTGGGCCGTGCACTCGTTCAATTTTTTATATATATTTCAGCGGCAACAGAAGCGGGCGTTACATGCAAGCTGAATGCCTATTATAGAAAAAAGTGGTGGTGGTGAAAAATTGAGAAGTCAATGCAACGAAGCAGGCTTCTGCTGGGTTGGCGGAAGGGCAGCCGCTGGGCGGTGGCTTTGATGGGTTCAGGTTGAGAATTTACAATCTCGTTGACACCACATTTTACAAGTTGCTTCTCATGCACTTCAGATGGGTGGTAAAAATATGGAGGTAAGGTAATAAAGCTTTGAGTTGATATGAAGCACTGCGGTTGGAGCCAGAGTTGGCGGTTGGATTTTGTGGCCGCAAAATGCGATCGTCTACTAAATTCAAAGTTGTGGGGCTTCAAAAGCGCAGCTACCTTTTAACGCAGCAATGCAATCTGGTTGACTCTATATTGTGGTGGTAGAAAGTAGCCCTTAGCCTCATTGCTTGATCTTCTCCGGCCTTCCTTCTTGAGTTAAAGTCACAAGGAATTCTGCGTGCATCTGTTCTGTTTAAAAACAACTCTTTGGGATATTTGCTGATAGAGCTCTACAGATCTCAAGGTCCCGTGAAGGCTATATTTCTGTATCTGGCTTTGACTCTTCGGTAAGAGGGTTCAGCAATCGAAAAGCCATGCATAAAAGATTTTCTTGAAAGTTAGGCTATCCACTGGAGCGAGTCCTCATGCTCGCCAAAGTTCCAACCTCTGCTGTCCTATTTTTGAGGTATTTATTTTTTCGTAAATCTGCTTCGCAGTCATCGTTTCACAGCCCTTTGGACGGTCTGCTCAGAGCCTTGATTGGAGAAACACACTTCATATCCAAACAGTTGCAGAAGTTTCTCCATTTGAGCCACGGTTTGAACAGGTATCCACCTCACCCCAATGGTTCGTGAAGTCAAGGGATGCCTTCTCAGGAGCCCTCTCCTCGGAATAGGGCACCACTTTTCAAGTACAACACAGAGCAAACTTAAAGCACGTTCGAAGCCTCAGAGAGTGTAATAGTCTCGTCTCGCCCGCAGATTGCGCGCAACTTGCTGGTCAATTCGGACGCTCGGCGCAGCTACAACATCGCTGTCCAAAACAACGACGTAGGCCTAGTCGAAGTGCCGTGGTCGCAGCTGCCAGGGGCGCTCGCACTGCTGCAGGTAAAGGAACTGGGGATTCCCATTTGCCTCTGTTATTAGAAAGGATGAAAGGAGAACTGGGACTCCCGGTGGACTCCCTAGGTACCCACGTAAACTAAGACCCCTGCAACCGACGGTCAGGTTTGGTGGTTTTGCTCAGCTCAGACCGTCGGTCATAGAGGATAATGGTTAGGAGGGGTCTCGAATGTTGGTTCGGGAGTCCATGTTCTCCCTCCATTTATTTTTGTTGAAAGCAGGCAACTATGAGAAGGGGTCAGATCCTGGCGCCAGTCTGAATTCCTGGGGGTTTCTGGGCAGGCCCGCTGTGACCCAAATGGAACCCCGTTGCGAATCCAGAACAGGGCTACCGGAAGAGGAATGCTGGAGACACAGCCTGGTTCCCAATGCAATCGAGACACTCACCTAAGATGTCCAAAACCTCCTTACCTCAAAACCTTCAAAGCCGTCAGATGTCGAAGACCGATTTCTGTCCCACGCCTCTGTTGCTCGCAAAGGAGCATCTAGATGGTGCTGGAGGTCCAACGTCAGGATGCACGGCAGAAGCCCCATAATAGAGAGTGCAAAACTCACACACACGGTAATAAGGGGAAAGATCGACGAGAAGAGAGGGAGAACGAGAGGGAACATCGAAGAATATCAACCGAACCGAACCGAACAACAATGTCGTAAATTCCAGGAGGTAGGCGAGGAGGAGGTGGTTTTGGAGGTGGGGCGGGCGGCCCTGGCGGAGCGCCCCCCGAACCGCGTGTTCAAGCAGGACGTGATCCTGGCCATGGCCCTCTCGCTCACGGAGCTTGCGCGCGAAGCCGTGAACGAGACGCCGGCCCCGTTCGCGACAGCGTGCGAGATGCTCGAGCGAGCGCTGGAGTTACTCAAGGTGGGTCCGATGGTTTTCGGTTGTTTATTTCAACACAACGCGTTTGCCAGAGCGTACGAGATGCTTGAGCGAGCGCTGGAACTACTCAAGTTGGTTCCAACGGCATCGAACTATCAGCTCAACACGCCCGCCTGTGTTTGGAGAAAGCGTGTGAGATGCTTGAGCGAGCACTAGAGTTACTCAAGGTGGGTCCAACGACATGAGATTACACAGGTCGATTTATCTGCCCGCAATTGACAGAGTGTGCGAGATGCTTGAAAGAGCGCTGGAACCACTCTAAGGTGGGTCCAAGCACCTGAAACGATAGGATAGACGCATGCAAAGTGGTCGACTGGATCCGTAGTGCTGGGTCGAAAATACCGTCAGACGGGTGAATACAGAAGGATTATGCACTTGATGGCTCGAGAATGTTCGGATTGAATGCTTTGGCGGATCTCAGTGTTCCACCTACCTCTGATTCGGCCTTTGAAGGAAACGAATGTGTCTTCGACCACGACATAGAACGATAGCTTTCGTGCATGGAATCGATGCACCGTAATGCTTCGAGTCGCCCTCGAAATTCATTGGCTCCTGAAAAGATCGTGCAGTGCTTGACGATGATTCGTTCGGATGACAATGATGTGAGGCACCGTTCTTTTTCTATCTTGTCAACCCGTGGATTCACAGAACTGTTTAAGATCCCCTCATTCCCGCCTTCCTCCGCTCTAAAATACGGTCGTCCACTCTCAAGCAACTCCTGGTGTTTTTTCCACTCCGAATACCCTCAATTCTTCATACGCTCCTCATTCTGTCCGCTTCAAACCAGCTTTCAACATCCAGACTGGTCTCAGCCTTCTGGGTCCGCCCCAAACTCGGGCCGTTAACCTCGCACCTAAGATGTCTTTTTTCGACGGAGTGTTCGATAGTTGTCACAAAGGCGGGGAAGAATGGTATATCGTCGACTTCCGTAATGTTCGCACGATATGAACTGCAGACTGGCCGTGCAACATCTTGGATGCGATTTTAAGGTGCCCGAGAAAGAGCTCCTGTAACTTTCCCACCTCAGCTCCCGAAACCTCCTCCGAGATGGTCCCCCGCACGGAACCCTTTCCAACACTCCCTTAGGGAACGCCTCAACCCAACCTTAACCGCAACCCTTAAAGTTTAAAGCTCCATGTCAAACCTTCGCAAGTATACGCTTCCAGAATACAACCTCAACTCCCCCTTACCAAGATCCACCCTCTTCCTTTTCAGGAGGAAGGCGGCAAGGGCTTTGCCGTCGAGATGCACAATGCGCATGGTAGTTTCGTGTACGCCAATTTGAATAAAACCCGTGTTTTACCCCCGTTTCATTCCCCACTCCTTTCCCTTTCAGAAGGAAGGCGGCAAGGGCTTCGCCGTCGAGCTGCAGAATGCTCACATAGCAATTTGACTTCGTCTCCACCAACAAAACTCAAACCCGTGTTTTACCCCCTTTTCACTCCCCACTCCTTTCCCTTTCAGGAGGAAGGCGGCAAGGGCTTTGCCGTTGAGCTCCAAGAGCGCATCGACACGTCCCTCGCGAGCCTCGCCCCCTATTGCGTCCTCGACTTACTGGACAAACCCCTAGACCCCGCGCACGCGCCCGCGCGGAAAGAGGGCCTCACGGGGGTGCGCGAGCTGCTCGCCGCGATGGCCGAGCCCGAGAGCCGCTGGCGTCACCCTGACGTCATGTCGCGCGCGGACTTCGCCGAGGCGGCGTTCGCGCGGATGACAGCCGCGGAGCAGGTACGAGATGGCGGCTGCCTCTCGGTTTGAGTTTGGATCTTCCGGTGAATAATGTTGATCCACGAGCGTGAATTCAAGTTTTGGAAATGATGAAGCTTTTCGCTTCGAGATAGATTGTCGTCGAAGCGCGTGAGAGTACCTGACGGCCACAAGAAACATGGGGCCAAGCCCGGGCGTTTGAGGGCTTAATCGACTTCGCATTTACGGCTTTGCACTTTCAAGTGTTAACCTATAGTTCTGCGTGGGCTGTGGTTTCTGGGCTACTTCTTTCGCTGAACGGACCTGCCGACTGGAGTTCGAGGTCTGTCTGACTGGAATCCTGAGTAGCCTTACTCAACCTCCCGGTCTGGCCGAAGACAATCTGCGTTTCGTTGTGACCCGGTCCTCGTGCTATCTGACCTCGTCTTAAGGTGGACGGTCTTGCCGTCCGCTTCGCCCATCAAGGTCACACGCCGCATGAATTTCAGGCTTCGTAAACCTGCTGCCTGTAGTTGGAATCGAAGCCCCGTAAGCTGAAAACTCAGCGTGTGGTGTTCTGCTTTCACTGGTCACACCCGCGCCATTTCTTTACCAAAAGTTCTTGATTAACATTCTTGAGGTTATGGCTTTATGGGTTTCTCAAGGAATTAAGGCTAATAGAATTTTCTAACGGAATTACCTTGACCGGTTTTTTTGACGCCTTTTTCAGGTGGTTCTGTACAAGGACCGGCCGTCCGACCCCCCCCCACCTTCCCAGAGCTCCTAGCGGCCGCACGTGCACACATCGCGCAAGGCTTCATGGAGCGAAAGCCCGAGCTCGTGGAGGTAAGCGCCCCCGACGTCATGCTGACGTCAGCATCTGGTCACGATCCATCCGGCGAGACGCTCATCTGACTGTCGTCTTTGCGGACTGTGACGTCAGGCCGAGTATGTCTCCGACTGTGGGTGCCTCGCGAAATGGCACGCGGCTAGACGTCAGATCTGACGTACCAGGGATCTCAGAAGTCATCGAGTTACTTGTTTCTAGGTGTTTTTGAAGCGCGGGAGAGGTTGGAGAGAAGGCGGCTCTTTCCGCTAAGGATCGGCCTCAGGAAAGATTTCACAATCTGTCTTCGTCCCCGAAAGATCCGCCAAACTCTCGAACTGTATACCCTTTGATTTCGCCACAGCCAGGATGCGGACGCAAATTTGTCCGAACTGCAGAATCCAGTTTTAAAAGCTCAACCCACAGGTCTCTTCCATTCTTCCGTTTCTCGCAAGTCTTTTCCGTTGTTCCGTTTCCGGCCAGGATGCGGACGCCGTTCTGTCTAACTGGCGCGCGAGCTGCAGCAGGACCACTATATTTCCAACTAGAATTTATTTGCAATGCTCCATCTCACATGTCTCTTCCGTTCTTCCCGTTTTTAACGAATCTGTTCCGCTCTATTTCCGGACAGGACGCGGACGGGATTCTGTCCAAACTGGCGCGCGAGCTGCAGCAGGACCCCGACTCCGCGGACGCTCAACGAATTGACGTGGCACTTGAGCGCGCCATGTGCTGCCTCCTGCTCGGCCACGTGGACGACGCTAGGGCGCACCTGGGGCTGAACACGACCCCCCCGACAGGTGGGCACTCCTTATTCGACTTCTTATTTCTGGAGGTACGCTCAACGGTTTGGGAGCAAGCGGATTAACCAAGCTTGGTTTGGTTTGATGTGTGCGGAGTTATGTTGAATGGTTTGGGGCAGGTCGGTTTGTCAGAGCTGTTTGATTTTGTGAGTGGGTTTCAAGCATATGTGGGCCTGTTTCTATTGCTCGTGTGTTGGGTGCGAGGGGCACTCTTTGTTTGGAACATCGTTGGTCGTCTAAACAATTTGGATCACCTGATGTAATGAAAGCTTGCTTCTTTTTTACCATGAAAGTTCAGACGTGTAGGGCCGTTGCTATTTTCCGTGAGTTGGCCACGTCATTCACAAGAATCATGACCACCCATACAGCAGTCTGCCCAAAACCACGTGCCCTTTGTGTTCGTCAAGAAAGCAAATTCCGTGGGATTAGCATTCGCTTGCGAAACCTTACGAGGTAATGCAACACTAGCGGACTTCTGATCTTTCGTCATGCCAGGGCTATGGTAAAGAGCTCCTCTCACCTCTCGTTGTGTCAGGTAGCCTCGACATCGCGAACTACGCTACCCCGAAGATAGCTTCAACCAAAGCTTTAGCAAGCGGCGGCGAGGCCTTTATGAGAACGGGTTACCCGCTGTTCATCTTATTCTACTGTCTTGTCATGCCAGGTAGCCTCGACATTGCCGACTTACGACCGCCGTCAAACCTTCAAGAGACCACCGACTTTTGCAGCCTCCACTCACAACGGCTCAGTATGGGGACTTGAGATGCCTCGGAGAGGCTTTTCATAGAAAAGACACGATTGGGAATCTGATCTTCACTTTCTCACAATCTGTCCTTGTCAGGTAGCCTCGACATCGCCGACTATGTCTACGCTCACTCAGAATCGTCCCCCGACCTCCTCCCCGGTCTCTGCTCCCTTCTCGAGCGCTGGCTCAAGGAAGCCCTGTTGACTTCGTACCGAGAGGCCTCGCAAATCAACTCCGCCATTATCCCCTACTTCGAAGACCCCCACGTGAAGGGCTATCTGGAGAAGCTGCAACAGGGTTCGATTCTGCTCGCGTTTGGGAAAGCGATCCGAGGGGGGGTGAGGCTTGCCGCGAGAATAGCGAGCTTACCGATTCGAACGATAAAGTGGATCGGGCGGAGTGTGGAGGGGCTAGCGGCGGGGCTGAAAGACAGGGCCAGCGCGGTAACGGTAGCGGCGAGCGGTAACGATACGGTCGAGGAGACGTGGCGGGGGGCAAACGTACTAGATGGGCGGAGCGAAACGAGGGAAGTGGGGATGAGATCGGATAATCAAAGCTTGGGAGTCGACGTTGCGAAGCAGAGTCGGGGTTCGGTGAGTTCCGAAGCTATTGACCAGGAAAGGGAAGACTTCAGCAACGGGGGGGTCGGTATGGCACAAGGGCCGCCGTTTTTGGCCCCCCCGGAGCAGCTGCCGAGGGGCATCCCAGCGACCGGAAAGCTGAAGGATTTGGACCTTGAGAGATTTTTGGCGAGGGGAAGCGATGGGTTTGCCGAATTTACGGCGGCCAAAACTGGCGACGAAATGGATGGCACTGAAACGTCAGGAGCTTTGGAGTCGGAACCAACGGTCGGATTTTTGATCGAGAGGGGGGCAGAAGGGGGTGACGTGGCAGGCGTGGGCGTTGAGGATAACGGGGCAGTGTCAAGCAAACCCAAGCCGGTTGACCCGGTATACCAAAACCGCAGCAACGTGGTTATCTTGGTGGGCGGCGCGCTTTTGGTGGCCGCGATCGCCTCCGCCGTTCTCAAACCCTCACGGAAACCCGCCGCTAACCAGCTTCTGCAAACCCCCGTTACTGCCAAAACCGTCGCCCCCTTACCTAAACTCGCTCAACAGCAGATCGTTCCGAAACCTTTGCCAATGACCCCTCCGGACGTCGATATACGGATGCCCCCGATGGATAGCGTATTGGCGGAGGGCATCATAAGGCGGTGGCAGAAGGCCAAAGCGGGAGCGCTCGGGCGCCGCGGAGACATTTCCGGGTTAAGGGATGTGTTAGACGGCGCGATGCTCGCGGAATGGACCGCAAGGGCGCGGGATTTCAGCAAAACTGGGAAACGGTGGGATTACGATCTGCGGGGAATCAACGTGGAGAGTGTGCAAGTCAGCAACCGGGGCAGGGAGGCCGTGGTTGGGGTTACGCTCCAGGTTAGCGCTTTGACCTAACTCATGGGATTATGGTTTGAGTCGGGCGTTGAGTATCTCTGTCCATCTTTGTGTTGCCAAGACAAGAAACAAGTTCCAGGTAGATGGTAAAATCTGATTGTGAGCTGCTTCTTTACAACCCTTCCGAGGACCTTCCTTCTTGAGACACGGCGAGCGATGCCGCACTTTTGGTGTTACCAGAAGTTCGACGTGATTCCGTTGCTTTTCGACCTGGGCAGGAGATAAAATCTGGTTTGCCTCAGGTTTTGAGTAGAAGCTCTTGTCGTCAATCACGTTGCCAGGATTGGAATAGGGAGAGCGGCGAAAAGTACTGCCAAATGCACCGAGTCCGGAGATTATCCTTTCTGCCGTCCGACATCGTCCGGTAGTCCACAAAGAGTACGCAATATACGTGGGCTGTAACCGGACCAGGCTATCTTGAATCAGTGTCAAAACCGTAAAGTGATTCACAGTATCCTTCTTCGACCTGGGCGGGTGTCACTTGATCAGCATGTGTGTCTGTCGCCCTTAAAAATCACGCACAGCGAAAGTGATTAATTGGAAGGCCTAAGCGATGAGAGATACATTCAACAAACCAGACGCTTCATGTTCGCAGGAGCGAGCAACGGAGTTCGACGCATCCCAGCAGGCGATCGACAGCTACGAAGAGGAGTACCGGGCCAAGTACGAGCTGAGGTTCATTCGAGGGGCGGGGTGGAGGATCATCTCTGGCACGGTTCTCACCTGACAGCACAGTGTTCTTTTTGCAGAATCAGCCATTGAGTGCTTGCATCAAGTCACGGGTAGTGTATGCGAGTAGGTGCTTTCCACGGAAACCGGATGACTAACCAGGGTTAAGGGAGGTGTTTGGGGGCCGAGACCCGTTGAGCTGAGCAGGATGGACACAGTTAAAGATTTTTTCCTCCATAGACACTTAGTCATTCCTAGCATCTCATGGTTGATTTGGCTGTGCGAGTTGGCGTTCGGCATATCCACGTTCACGAGCTAGAGTGGCACTACGATAGACGGTTCAGTTGGATTTCCCAGTACAGAATGTAGAGTATGACTGCTAGACGTGCCAGACTTCAGTAAGAAAGTCCGATCAGGGCGCCCTGTTCCTTGTGAAAGATGAAAGAAGCAGAGCAGAAGAGGGCAGGCTCAGAGAGAGAACATTGCTGAATCGTAGCAACCGTCCCAGACGAAGTAGCGTGTCCGTACTGCCCAAGCACTTATTTGAGCTTTCTACCCGCGGGTAGCTTTTGCAGAGCCTGTACATTGACAGCCTAATGAAAGGGGCGCGTTACACCCATCTACCATCGACGATCCACCATGCCTCCTTGAGATCAGTCATTGAATTACCGTGACAGCATGGTTCACATACCGTAGCTCCTCGCGGCCGGCTTTAATGACCATGATCGAACGACTACAACTTTCAAGGCGAAGGAATAATCGTTGAGTCTCTGAAGAATAGCTCCAAATCTATACGCGCAGTGTCGGCGGCTGAGTCGCTGCAGTCACGCGGTGACGAGCGGCCGGGCCGTATGAACTAGCTCGCGCGCATGCACTTTGATAACGCGGCGCGCATAACGAGTCATACATGGATACCATTAGTAAGTGCGGGCCATGTGCAGCGCACATGATGAATAAATCGTCGAAGCAAGCGCACATCTCAGGCCCTCTAGCTCGATCGCGGGGTTGGCCCATCATGGTCATACCGGGATGTGTTTCTGGTGTACTTTTGTTCTGCCTGAGACACTGACATGCGATGGTGGCGGTACGTCCATGGCATTTAGGCGTTTGCATCAGACGACGGTGACCGTGAGCAAAGTCAATCACAAATGCAGCCCGTACGACAATGAGCGATGAGTCTGTGGCACCCTCCATAGAAACTGATCTACATCGAAAGTTCGGTTGCGCCAAGCTGGCGGCGACAGCCCTCATGGGCAATTGTCTGCCGAGTACGGTCGCTTGGCGTGAATATATTTTTTACTGGCGCGGGTCAACCCCTACTTCCATCTCCATTTCTGAGATGCACGCAAACAGTGCGTGTCGTCATCGGAAGAACTCCTCTGGGAACAGGAACTTTAGACCAACCGCCTGCAGAGCAATCGATTGTGACATGTTACGAAAATGATGGCAACGAAGCATTTCAAGTCTGCGGCTTCAAACCAAGGCTCCTGGCGCGAACACAACAAGAACCGAGCACAAAGGATTACCCTCTGCAGATTTAAGCTGACAAGACAAACATTCCGGCTTATCTGACCATCTCTACGTGTGCATATAGTAGAATCGGGAACAGCGATAAGTAGACAACCACCATGTCAATCATATAGAAACGAAAGAAATCGATATAGACGCTGCAAAGCTCACTCGTGCAAACCCTGCGTCCGCCGCACTAAAGTCGCCTTTCCTCCCTCCCGCATCGCCGACGTAAAACGATCTGCGAAGAAAGGCAGAATTTGGGGTTGAAAAGTAGAAGGGCAAGAAGCCACCGAGCGAACGGTGGGAAGGAAGTTCAAGCCGCGTGATCGCTACAAAAGCACGATTTCAATTGCGGGGCGGGGGCTTCGTAACGCTTCCCTCATAAGAGCTGTGCGGTCCCTTGATTATGAAAAGCAGTGCTGAACGCTCGCTTGAAAGCTCGACGAAGCAGACGAAGCGATCTGTAGACAACCGTCGAGCAGTCAATAATTTTCCTCGAGCGCGGTACCAGAAAGTTTGAGATTCTCAGATTCAAGTGAGTATGAGTTTTGAATTGGAACTGTTGCAGAACGAGATTGCCATTGAGCCCGCTCACATTTTTGAGGCCAAGAAGGAACCCGTTAAGCTTGAATTGTGTCGAGAATCGGGTCTCACGTGGTCATGTCGACCGGTGTTCCTTCGCTGAACCCCTGTAGGAAGACGTCCCACATCCCGCGGCAGGGTTTCCGGCAGGCGTCTCGGGTGCCGCTCTTGCCGCACGCGATGAATACCTGTCGGTACGTCCGTTAAAGCACCGTGCCTTATAAAAGGGACACTAGAAGGAATTTATGTTCCACTTTCGGTATACAAGGCTCCAAGCTGAGTGAGGTGCCCCGCATGGGCAAACCCACAAAGAAAACCAGGGGCAGTTAAGCAGACTCAATGGGGTGCTTTTTCAACCCCTGCTTTTCCCATCATATCGTCGTGGTCGGATCCATTGACAGTAATTCTCTGAAAACGTGCAATTCGTAGGGTATTGAACTACAGATACCAACCGAGCGCCTGTCCAGAACTTGCAACCTTGAACCTGTCCGATACAGGGCGGTTCTGCAGAATGCATCTGAGAGAGAGGGTCTCACCAGCATCGGCACGCCGCACTTCTTGTGCAGCCCCTCCAGCCGTCCGATCTTGGAGTCAATCGCTTTTTGACGGCTGTTAACCCACCGATCGATATTTGACTCGTTTGTAAACAGAACCTGCCAGATGAAAGCGCATAATTTACCAACAGCATACCATGCAGTGTACTCTTACAATGGTAGCTGTCTGTACACCAATTTTTTTGACGAGACAGAAAACGAAGTTCTTTAAAGAGCTTCCGACATGAGCTGTGGATGAATCCCGCCCAAACGCCAAACAACAACGTATTAAGATTCTGCTGGCAGCATATGATCGACACAACCAGAACTAACAGACTTCAAATCTTCTATACAAGCACATCCTCGTTTCATCTTTACCTGATGGCGGCTCAATGTCGAAAGAAGCCTGAAAGCTACGAAGAGAGCACAAGAGCAGCTCGCTTAAGAAGACGGTCCGACTCGACTAGGAAATATCGAAAAGGGTTAAAGACGTCGCTCACTATTCGAAACCCGTCGTCGTGCAACTGCTGCAGTTTTTGGGGTATCGTGGGGAACATGAGGGACCAAGCGTCCGCGCCGTGCCGCCGCACTGCCGTGTTGGCTAGAGTGCCGTCGAAGTCGAACGCAGCCACCTTCTCGGACGTACGCAGATCGCCCAACTGCGGAAGAAGGTAAGAGAGACGAAGAATAAGTGGTTACTTGGTACGAATCTAGCAAAAAGCATCTTAATAATTTTCGACAAAATCTCAAGAACTTACATATTGAGGGCCAAGGAGCCACACAATCGAACGCCCACTGCCTGGGACGGGAAGAATACCTTTGAGGGTCTGGGTTCGGAGCGGGTAAAGTTTGCTGGTTAGGGTTGTCAGGGATAAGTGGTTCCTCTGATACGAGGCCCTTATAAGGGGACCGAGAATCATCGTATTTCGGGCGGACGAGAAGGGTCACCAATGACAATCTTGAGAGCACTAGAGGGCCACAAAGATTGATAAGAGTCTCTGCATGCAAGAATGTCACGCCATACTAGAAAGAGAACTCCGGGAAGCGGGTTACTGCTGAAGGAATGTCACGAGCAGATTCTCAGACAAGAAACGTGGAGTTCTTATATAACCGACTGGAAGGGGAGCTTCAGTAAGTGCGAGATCGGGGCTTCTCGGCTGCAGGCAACCAAGCGGAGTGCAAGCATGACATGCGATTGTGGCGGCCATCAGGTGCAATGGGCCATCTCCACCAGACTACGAATGAACAATCAAGTTGAGCTGAAGACCCGAATAGCATTGCGATAATGAGTACAGATTGCCGTTCTGACTGAGCATGCCAATGGCGGAGGTAATGACAAGCATAAAGAGCGCTGAAGGAAGCCGAATTCTTAGAAATCTGCGGCAGAATGGAGAACTTGCCTGCCCTATGATTACGGTCTCGAACGCTTTCCACCTGTCCGGCAGCCTGGACCCCTGGCCATGAGAGGAAATTGTGAGAAAACGAAAATCGGCCTCCTTTCGTCAAATATCTGAGGCTTTGATCGAGACTGGAAAACGGGCTGCAGATTGATAAAATTTGCAATCTGTCATTGAGGACCAACCAATGGCGCTCCCGATTTACAACAAACGTGCAGGAAGCACGTATTGCAGCACCCTCTATTCTTGCTCCTCCTCGACCCAAGCTGGTGCGCTCACGAGCAGCCTCCCTTCTTGAGACACACTGGGCAGACCCCGATGATTCCTGCTCATTCTCAACAAATTCTTCGTTCGAGGCAGAGTCCCCAGACAAGAAGAGACTGAAGCGGTCGACATCTGCTTTGGCAGAGTCGAGTGGCCGCCTCACTTTGTAAGAAGACGCCAGCTTGTCGTGGGAGAACTTTTCGACTGCGGCCCGCCACTGCTCCTCATCGTACTCCTCTGCCTGAGGAAATTGGAGAGAGACTCGATGAGCCCAGCAACAACCTTCGACCCGAAGAGGACACCAGAGAGACAAGCGTATATGGCTTCACGACTCTTGAATCTGACAGTGCACTAGTGGTGAGCCTGCCAAATTCAAAACGCTATGGACAAAGTATAAGCCAAGCGATTTTTGGTAGATGTAGGAGAGTCAGCCACTAGCCCGCCCAACCCCACCCTAGGTCCACAACTAACCCCACCACAATCAGCCAGTTTTTCTTTTGGAAAACCGGTACCAAATTGGTACCAGTTCCCCAAAAATGAAGAGCTGTGAACCCATAAGCCTGTCCTTGCCAAACCAGGCAGCAAAAGAGCCTCCAGGCGTCAGATTCGATCAACTCCCAAACACCTGCTAAAAGAGGTACAAGCTCTGACGAGAGTCCGGCCCCTTGCCTTTCCTTCCCCGGACTTGGCCTCTCCGTAGGGCGGATAGGCTTCCCCTTCTCTAGCAGGACCCACAGCGGCCGGCAGGGGAACTTGCCGCTCAACTCGCGCCTTCTTCGCAATGTGCTCCTCAGGGGGGGTGACGGCCAGGTTTCGGAGGAGAGCTTGGTCGGAGGCCTGTAAAGAGTCGGGAGAGGAAGATTGCCATAGAGGGAGACAGTTGCCAGGCAGATGAGGAAGCGACGAAGAGGGGAAACGATGGAAGGAAGGTGTAGGAACACAAGTGGAATTCAAGGTCTCCTTCTCAGCAAGGGACCTTGCGCGTGGAGTGTTTGAAGAGGAACTCGGAAGGGGCACATTTACAAGTCGGGAGTGTCTCTGGCAGAGCTCGCAGCCAAGATCGTAGAATAATCAGAGCGTCATCTCAGATTGCCACGAAGGTCACAATACCTCTTATTCCTCTGATCACTTGGGGGAGCAGACGCGTAAGTGAATCGAGTCATCTTAGAGAAAAGTTGAGATCGCCTATCAACGTCACTCAACTTAAGGGCGCCAAATCCCACAACCTTCTCTGGTTCAGGTAAAGGAGACACACTGTCGAAGAAGCACTTGCCATGATACCTGCAGAGAGACAGCCAACAATCTTATCCACTTGATCCTCATGCAGGTGTCAACCTCTATGGGCTGATGTGGGGGCTGTCCATCTGCCTTTTTAAGGGGATCCCCTTACTCCAGAAATGTAGATTCCACCCCAAATGTCAATCTGGAGTAAGAAAGAGGTAAGAAATAAGGGAACAGGCTCACCACTTTGTAACATCAAACCCGCCGTCCCCTTTGCTGACGCGCCCCACTCGCAGGATGTCCCTCTCTATTTTGTTTCCGCAGCCTTTGCAGGCAGAGCGAGCGGATTTGGCATACTCAGCTACATCTCTGCATCAGCTTACAAGTTACAAGGAGTCAGCGTTCATGAAGTAGTCAGCTCGTTAAGATGTCAGAGTTGACTGTTGTTGGGGGAAAAAGAGCTGCTTTAAGATATCAAACACTCTCACGACACTTCACTCCCGCAAAGCTTGCAGCATATACAGTTTGGCTGTCTGATTGCGGTGGTGCAGGGATTGGTTGTGCGCTTACCTTCGATGGTCTGAAGCCATTACGGTCTTTTTGTGCGTGCACCTTTTCTGAAAGCAATGCTGCGAGAAGAGTCTCTCCACTCTAGTGCTCAAGCCCCAGCAATCATCACCGGATGCAAAGGACCCTCTATCGCTACCCCGTAATCTATGACTGCTTGAAACGCCCTTTTCTGAACGGGCAAAAGTGGGGACAGAAGTGTGGAATGCTAGGGGACTGGGGAGCCTCTGTGCACACCGCCTCGCAAGTGGTGGAACGTCCAGAAGGTGCTGGATGCGGAAGAGGCGTGCTAGCACCATTCAGCTCTTTTGAAGAGCTCCAAAGCAACAACGTGCTGAGAATCCAGAAATATATTAGTACTTTAAGACGATGGATCATGCATGGCTCTGCCTGGCTCTGCCTTGCAACCTGCCTAGCTGCATGCTTGAGCACACAAATGCAGGTTGAATTTTTGCAATACAAAATTGATAAGTTTTGTAAGCCTATAAGCCGGCAGAAAATAGCCGCAATTCAATCGATAATAATATAGTATGGGCGAGAAGAGTCTCCATGAAATGACTTACGAAATTAGTAAATGAGTAGCCTCCCGGATATGGATAGAGACGGGATATCGTATTAGCTTCCAAACCCTGAATCGTGATCATGTGACATTGACTGATCACAATGCCATTGAGTTTTGGCAGTGGTACGTATCTCACTGAGTCACTGCCATCTGAATCAGAACAGGTTGGCCACATTCGAGAAGCCGTTGAAGCGTGATCATGGCGCGTGTTGTTTGCAGGTCGCAGCTCCTCAATGCAGGCTTGCACCTCCCTTCCAGTCGTGTGTGCCAGCGGAAAACCCAAAAATTGCATCCTCTTGGTGCCTTGTCAGACAGATATGCAGAAACAGAATGCGCGCTTCTGAGATGTTTGCTCCTCCGGCGCCCTGGGAGGTTATCTAGTCAAAGCAAGGGGGCACGATGTGCGGCGGAAGTGCAGAGCCCCGCGAAAGCTTCAGAGTCAGAGGTGAGCGTCGTGTGTGCATTGTGGCGCCCTTCTTTTTGAAGGTGCCACTCTTTTGCTGCATTAGCTGTAGAAGTCTTAGTCACGCTTGTGGGTGGGGATGTCTGCCTCACAGAGAATATGTGGCCGAAGGGTTTATGCTCCATTGTCTTGTTTGGAAGGGTTCTCCTTCCCTCCCACCTTAGGCTCCTCTCATGTCGTTAGGCCACGATGATTGAACCTGAGAAGCCCACTCATGACCGGCACTGTGACTGCCCTTGGTCGAAGGCGTGGCGCCAGTCCAAGAACACATAATGTGGGCCAGTGGTTGGGAGTCTCGGTTCTGGAAATCGTTTGAGGGTGGTGACAAATATTGATGGCAGCCTAGAAACCAGGCGGAGAAGGACCTTAGACACAAGATGCTGACACCCTCAATCTTGATCGGCGGTAGACATTGCAATTGGCCGAAGGGGTGTAAAATAGTGGCGAGGGGACGTCTTTATATTCTGGGAGTGGCCGGAAATACGCCCTGCTTTTTGTACTTTCTGTGGGAATGACACACAAGCTGCTTTCATCAAATGCTGTCGAGGGCACCTGGCACAAAGACTTGAGTACCTAGGTAGAAAGCTGGTTGAGAACGCTCCAAAAATGACTCTGGAATGTCGATGATTGCCAACAAGAGAAGCGCTCGTCGACTTGTAACACGGAAAGTTCCAAACGTTTTTTTCCGGCCTGATCTAGCGGGGCTTCATAAGTACTTATACATTGGGGCATCAAAATCATGTCACTGTTTTTCGCGGCGTGTCTTTCCAGAGGAGCGGAGTCCAAGAGTCTGGAAAGGTGGCCGTCAAGAGGGTTCCAAGGAATCCTAGCAGCAAGTAAACTTCTGGAGGCGTTTAAAACTTGCTGTTTTTCTGCTATTCAACCGGGTTTCATGGATCTTTCAAATGCACCTCGGGCGGAGATGTCATGTAACCTGTTTCGCTTTTCGTTGTTTTCAGGGGGATGGAGTTCAAGACTCCGAAAAGGTGGCGGTCAAGAGAGTTCCCAAGGCATCGCAGCAGCAAGTGAACCAGCGGGCCAAGGACTCCGACTGGAAAAGCGCGCAGCAACTCTTTGAGAGCGGGGAACTAGTCAGCGCGAAAGTCGAGGGGGCCAATAACGGGGGGGTGCTTATCAAGCTCGGGAGCCTGCTCGGGTTCGTCCCCTTCTCGCAAATACGGTCGAATGACGGGACGAAGAGTCTATCGGAAGTCGGGGCATCGCTCGTGGGGAAAACGATCACGGCGAAAGTGAGCGTACATGCCTTCAATCTGCACCCATGTTGAAGAACTGGTGTTCAAGTCAATACAGGCGACCAAATGTATCGGGGTCCGTCCCCCAAAGCGAATGTATCGTGCTTAAAGGCTGTGCAAGCATTGGGCGTACTACAATGCATGTTGCCAATCTACCTTGACTCTCTGTTTTCGAATAGAGACTGGACTGAATGACATTCGAGAAATACGAATGCTGCTGCATAATCATTGCACGCCCTTGCAGCCGTCAGGCAGAGCGGTTTCTAAGAGGTTTGAGGAAGAAATTGGAGTTCTTGTTGCAGGTGATCGAAGTCAATCGGAAGGCGGGGCGTTTCGTTCTTTCAGAGAAGTTGGCAGCCTGGATCGAGGCCGCGCAGCAACTCACAGTCGACGAAGTTCGAGAGGGGAGAGTCGACTCGCTAACGGATTTTGGGGCGTTCGTAGACATCAAATTCCCAGACGGTGAGGCCATGCTCGTTGTACTCACGCTCAGCTGCGAATACGGCTTTGACTACTTGTTCTTTTTGCATCCATCCCGAGTTCTTGAAAGCTAGGACCGACCTCGTGGAATCCCGACACAGGAAAGTTTGAAAGTTCGGTCAAACTCCGCTCAGCGGACTGATACATAAGCAAGCTGCCTCACATTCCAGTGCACCATTGCAAGCGTGTAGGATGCTAGAAACCAATCACTGAGATTTCGGGATTCAATTCAGAAGTTGCGTCTTTCGATCATGCTAAACATTGAAAACTCCAGAATCGTGCCCGATCAGCGGGTGGTTTATCTCGAGCAAGCTCTGACAGAACGCAGGAGTTGCACCACCCCGGAAACCAAGCCCAACATAATTTCAGGATGATAGTAGTCATTGCAGATTCCAAAAGCTGCGGCCCTCAATCATGCAAGGTCATACACGATGAGTGGGCACACGAGCGAGATGTCCCGTAACTTAGCGCACCATCTTAAGGATTCTGAGTTGCCAAGTCCTGACACCCCTTTCATAAAAGATACAGAGCCGAAGATCGTGTCTCATGGTCTTGCTGAACTGTGCCCCCAGGGTCATACCCACTTAGCGGGCTGGTACACACGGGCAGCTGTTTTGGAATATGTGTGCAACGTCAAGCGTTCATTGTGCTAAACTTAATTGCAAAAGTAATTTTTGGATAATCTTTATTCCCACTTTTTGAGACTGCCCCCAGGCTCGTACCCGATCAGCGGGCTGGTGCATACCAGCGAGCTTTTGCGGGACCCGGTGCATCACCCAGAGGACTTCATATCTGTACACCTCGACTATAACTTCTCAAAGTTTTCAAACTTGCGTTTCCGAGTCATGCTTAAATCTGGTGAGACTGCCCCCCAGGGTCATATCCAATCAGCGCGCTGGTGCACACGAGCGAGCTGTTGTGGGACCCGGTGCACCATCGTGAGCGTTTGAACCGCTAACTTCCGAGATTAAAAAGTCCCATCCGCTTGATATCAGAGATTGGTTTCCCGCTTATTGCTAACCCGAAACTGCCCCCCAGGTTCTCATCCAATCAGCGGGCTGGTGCACACGAGCGAGCTGTCGTGGGACCCGGTGCATTACCCCGAGGACTCCATATCTTCACACTTCAACAATGTCCGATCAAAGTTTCGAACTTGCATCTCCGAGGCATGCTAAAGTTCTAAAACTGCCCCCCAGGGTCATATCCAATCAGCGGGCTGGTTCACACGAGCGAGCTGTCATGGGACCCGGTACATCACCCCGAGGACTTGCTGACGGTCGGACAGGAAGTGCGCGTGAAGGTCGTCAATGTCGACATGGAGCGCATGCGCCTCGCGCTGTCGCTCAAGCAGCTCGAGAACGACCCGCTGCTCGAGACGCTCGACACCATCATGCCGGTGAGGGGGGCTCGGTTCTCATAATAGATGATCCCCTAGGATGCCGTTTGTAAGAAAAAACGGTTCTGGTTTAATAGCCCAGTAAGGCAGAGTTTTCCAATCCGCACGGTCTTCAATTGACAGCAGGAGTTGCGGCTGCTGAAGTAGGCAAACGAGCAAGGGTCCTCGCTGTAGTACAGGAGAATGGTAATTGCTCATGCTGCAAAGGGCGAGATCCCGTCCTGACGTCGGGGTTCTCCATAATTGGTGTGCTATCTTTAGCATATCTCGTGGTCAACCATCGTAGCAGTAGCGCCGACCGAGACTGCGTTGGAAAGACCCAATCAAGCCTTTTGAAATTGGGACCAACCTTTCGTTTCCAGTAGGCTGCAACCGTGTCGGGCTCACCTGCCCGCGTTGACGTCATTGTCTTACCCCGTCGCCCCTTCAAATGAGTGTTGGCTGATGAGTTGCTTGCTCCTGTAGTGCCTTGCCCGATTTTTTTCTGCGGTCCAACTTTTCCTCTGCTGCATTAGTGGATGGCTGTGATGATGAGTTCGACGACTTTGCTGCTGAGTCGAGTTGCCTCAGGTTCCAGTCCAGTCGCTTAACCGACGACGCGCCTGCTGCTCATAATTGATGTTGCTCGTGGATTTAACCCCATCTCTCTTTCGCACTCGTTCAAGCCGCGTAGAGATTTCTGCAGACGACAAAAACGACAAAACCCGAAGAAGTCTCTGCCCTAAAGCGGCATGACTTCTTTTTTGCATCTAGTCGCTTGAAGTCTCGATCTGACGGGTTCTTTGGCCTTCAGACAGCCCACGTACCTTCTACGACGGGGCAGCAGGACTTCTTTCTCTCATCTCTAGTTGCTTGAAGTGAACGTTTTCCTCTGCCCGTCGTTGCAGGCCGGCTATGACGACGACTTGACTGACGATGAGCTGGCGGTGCTGCCGCTGCCGGGACTGGAGGACATTTGCAACGAGCTCCAAAAAGAAGATGGGTAAGTGTCCCCCGCTCTAGTTGCCGTCTGCACACTTTAAAGATAATCTTGCCTTCTTCCCTGCCTTACCATCACTTTTTCGGTCCCAGGTCGTTAGCCCACCCAACTCAACGCAGTCAGATGGGCCCTTTCCAACGCAGCCTCTCCTCGTTTCCGCGCCTTTTCCAATGCGGACCTTCAATACTCCGGTTCTCAACGACTTAAAACGTGCATCAGACTGTCAGTGGAAGAATCCTCGTGTTCCTCTTCTTGACGCTGGTCGACCATCGGGCCCAGAAAAGGATTCTAAGAACCGTTTCCTGGCCAGTGTTGAGCCAGAATGCCGAGCATCACAATCGTAGGGCAGCACACCAGATTGTCGGTCGTTGGCTAGATGTCGCAGGAAGAGCTCAGAATATATTATCTCAAAAAGGAAAGAGAGATGGAGAAAGGAAAAGGAAAAAGAAAAGAAGGGAAAAAAGAACAAGAAAGAAAACGCAAACCTTCGATGGGCTCGTTCCCGCAGGGTGCTGTCGGTGGCGCTGGGGCGGCAGGCGGTGGAGAAGCGCGTCGTATCGCAGGACCTCGAGCTGTGGCTCAGCAACGCGCCCGCAGAGAACGGGTACACCCTGCTCGCGCGCGCGGGCCGCCAGGTACAGTCACTTTGCAAAATAATAATAATAATAATAAAAACAGCTTCTCCTGAGCACTTTGCTAGTTCTAGTGTAAAACTTTACCGGACTGATCTCACTCGGTTGCAGACCGACGAAGTCACACTAGGTTTCCCACTAAAACTGGCAGGTTGCTCGGGAGAAGCTGTATAAGTTTCACTCTGCTTAAGGAAAGCGCCATGAAGGGTAACAGCCAAATTTGAGTAAGAACCTAAACCTAGGGTTCACGTGCTCCGCACTCGCCCCCACCCAAGTAAGGCCTTGACCAACTTCCGAGTTACCCTAATGGAAACAATCAGATTTCTGCTGTGAATCCTTATCGGTGATTAATGCGCTGGACCGCACCAAGGATCGAATCTGCCCCAAGTGGCCTTTTTCGAAGCTACCGCAGTGGACCCTGATCGGTTGAGGTGCTTGTGACGGTGATTTGGCTGGCGGATTGCTTACGGGTGACGGAACACTTCTGACATTCCGCCGCTAGCCGGCTGGTTCTTTCCTGACTTCCTTCTCAACTTACTATTCAACTTACATTAGAGGGATGTCTTCGCTGAATTTCTGTGAAAGCACATGCTTTTACACTCGTCAGATTCCCATGCGATCAGATTGGTTTGCCTGTTTGCTTCGACGCCTTCTTTATGGTGCATGTTACTAATGGCTCACGACATTAGTCGTCCGGGCTATATGGGTTCGTTTAGTTCCACTTCCTTGCTCTTCATTCATCTCCTTGAACCTGGTCTTATAATCAACCGCAAAACCCACACTTGCCAGATGTGAGAGACAATTTATATTCTGTATCCAATACCTTGCAGGTACAAGAGGTGATGGTTGAAACTACGTTAGATCGAGAGGCTATGAAAGCAGCAATCCAAAGAGTCACGACTATTGTACCTTAGACCTTCTGGTGGAATACGCTGCACAACTGGACCAATGACTACAAATGGTCCTGGAATCCAATTAGTCAGGTTCATGACACTTTCGTGAAAGAACACTTGCGTTATGCTCTTCGACTTTGCCAAAGTGTTTGGAAATTGTGCACAATTCCAAGTGAACAGTTACCAAGTCCTAGTTGAGCTTCTGAGCAGAAACTTCTGCTCTATTAGAGTAAGATTTTATGGTGACCGTCAGTATTATGAGCAATAAGTTAGGCCACGCTAGCTGAGCGCCAATCATTGCGGGTCCGACTGGGGCATTACCCATGCATGCATGGTGCAATAGGCCATATACTAGTTCTCGCGGGCCGCCGCCGGTCGTCATGCAACATTGAAACAACTAGATACCACGGGACCGCTACGGCGGTTTTAGGTATTTGCCAGGTTCTACCTCGATACCCGGTCGGTCCTACCTGCAAATTACCTATTTATCGACCTCCGTATACCTCCGATAAATCGGTGTTTCCGCGGCCGGATCGAGGTTTTAAATTTCAACTCAAAATTTCAACTAATTTCAACGACTCGGCGATACTGTGAACTGGGCCAATTCCTGTACGGAATATGACGTGGCCCTGCCCTACGACAAATTTTCGATCGCGACCAGACGGTCCCGACCGGGTGGTACCGCCCTTTACTCTACCGTCCGATGACAATTATGAGAGCATTATCGACGATTTGAATGAGTCGCTCAGGTACCTCAACACGCGTTGAGGCTGGAGAGGCCCCGTTGCAGGTTAGAAGACCCACGACCGAGATTGAAAAGTAGGTAGACCATGAAAACACGGGGCCTCGAGTCATGAGGAAGGAGGACCTTCGAGTTCCTTGCTGCAATGGCGTTAATTACACCAAGGACGGAGCCACCATGGCCATGGCTTCCAATACCTCTTGGGATGGAGTTTGGGGACAGGGGCGGAAAATTGGAAAGTTGCAACTCGATATATACCCCTTGGACTACCTCCAACCAAGTGGACACCCCTGCCTCCTCTCGGATTTGCATGTTATATAGCTGCCTCCTTGGCTCACATTTAGGGCCAAATTACCTTTTTTTAGAGTTTTTTCCTAGGTTCCAAAAATAATTCCAAGGTTTCTCCTCGGTGCGATCGTACTCCGACCTCCGAATATCCAAAATTTTGCCTCCGAACACCGTCGATTTACCGTCTCGCGACCTGCGGACTTTCGGTCCGACCGAGGTAAACCGTAACTAAATTACGGTCGGACCGAGGTCCGCAAGTCGCGCCGTAGCGGTCCCGTGGTACGTCTACTTCACGCCATCACATGGTGGCTTTGCAGTAATCACATGGGCGCGGCCGTCCCGCGGGTCCGACTCGATCAGGATCCTTGCCATATGCATGCATGTGCATGCAGCTGCACGCATGATGCGCGCGGCCGCTTGCGTGCAAGCTCCATGGTCAAGGATTGCCCGGGTTATATACAGCTAGGCAGTATCGTACATTAATTCCCAAATATATCTTTTTCATATATATATGGACAAGCGCGCGTAGGCCATGGGCTTGCATGTATGCAAACGTATCTCTTGCAGCATCGTTTTTAAAGTTTGAACGGTCCAATCTCGCACCGTGAGATAGCATAAGTGTAATCTAGGCATGGACGAGCATGATGTGACTGAGTATGTGGTAGTGTATATAACACCACAAGGTGATGCAACTGTCCTGTTCGGATCCAGCTGGCACATGTGGCAATTTCATGGTTGCCAGGGGGGAATCCAGAAGTCTTTGCAGAGGTAAGCACACTCATTTTCGATTGGTATGAGCACAGAATGTGATCCAAACATAGGTCTAGGACTGACTCGTTTACCCAAGATTCTTTCACTAACTAGATTGATGCAACCTTGCTGGTTGCATCCATGCACGCTGTAATGGTAGCCAAGGCCGACCTTCACCATTTCAGCAGACACTCTATTTCACTCCAAAGAAGGATCTTTGTTCACAATTTCCATTACACAGTTAGTGCTTTGACTTTTTGGGCGCCGGTTCGTCTTCTTCTTCATCGTCGTCCTCATCGTCCTCGTCCCCTTCCTCGTCGCCCTCCTCATCACCCTCCTCCTCTTCGCCCTGGAAAATAGGAAGACCATTGATCAGTGGCAGCTGAAAAAACTCTGGAATTCCATTGGACTTCAGAAGAGAATAAATGCTGAAAGACTCACATATTAGGACGGAGTATTGCTCGTCGGAGTCGCCTGACTGACCAAGCAAGACACTCAAGACGAGTCAGATATCTCTTGAGTGACCAATTCCGAAGAAGCGGACAGAATCCCAACCAAAACATACCTAGGGCCCAGAGCAACCCGCCTGAAGTATCATCAAACGGCAGCAATAGCAACGAACTGGATTAGCGCACCTCTTCCTCCTCTCCGCCCTCCTCGTCGTCGTCATCATCATCGTCCTCCTCTTCGTACTCGACACCCTCTTCCCCTTCTTCACCTGTGAAAGTACAGACGCGTCATGCGAAGGCACACACCCAACAAGTGCAGAAATGTTTCCGCAAAGAAAGAGTGCAAGACTTAGAGTTGCAGATTGAGTCGTCCGATCACTTCGAGTCTTGCAGGTGCAAAGCCTCTGTGCTTCCAAAACGGAAGCAGGGACTGCACTCAATGCCAAGACTGCCAACTTCGCCTTTGTTTCATAAAATACAATCCAGGCAGGGTCTGTCGGGGGTGCAGACGGAGATGCCCATGAATCGAACTGGAGCGCCTCGACGGGGGCTTCCTAGTCGTCAGACAAAAATAGCAACTGCAAGCTGGATGCCAAATCATTAGCGACTGTAAGCTGGATGCAAACAATTGCGCGTGTAAGCTGTGCGACAAAAAAGCACAAGGAAGCAAGATCAAAACGTACCTTCGCCTTCCTCCTCGTCACCTTCTTCGCCCTCGTCTCCCTCCTCCCCTTCTTCCCCCTCCTCGTCGTCGTCATCGTCCTCGCCTTCCTCCCCCCCTTCTCCACCCTCTTCTGCAAAATATCAGATCACCCGGTCAGAGATGCGCCTCAGACGACGGCTAGATTGTCGGTAGAAAGTAGAAGGGTACACGTCCGCCGCCAGGTGGGAGCTACCGACCATCAAACTCAAGAAAAATAAAAGTAAGCCGAGATTTTAGTAAGGTAACCAACTGGGACGGGTAGGGTTAGGGTGGTGGTTGGGGTGGCTCCGGGTGCAGAGCGGGTGTCGTTCTGGGTTAGGAATTTCAATGTTAGTCGGAGCTTAATATTATCTTGGCTTACTAATATTTTTCTTGAGGTTAATCTACCGACCCCCTCCTGGCGCGCATGAAGAAGCTTCCTTAGCAGATTCGTACAGGGTTCATTTGATGAGTCCGAATCCTGGACCAAAAACACCAGTCGTTGACACTCCCACCTTTCCCAGATCAGACAAGAGGACCCTATAGCCGCTTGGAACATACCAGAGAACCCCGACCCGATGCTCTCAAAAAACGGCAAAACGATCTCTGCCGTACTCCGGTCAAATCTTGGAAGCTGTCTCTATCTACAGCGATTGGCGTGAACATCAGACATAAAACAACCAAGCTGGACATCGTCACACAAGTTGGTATGCTTACCCTCGTATCCCTCTCCGCCCTCATCGTCGTCCTCTCCCTCCTCCCCTTCCTCGCCTTCTTCACCTTCTTCTCCTTCCTCGCCCTCCTCTCCCTCCTCGCCTTCCTGCAAACAGGGAAAACAAACCTGAACTTCTGTCCAATTCTAGGCGGCAGTCCAAGTCCTTGGCACAGATTCTGGCGGTCGCCCTCCATTTCCAGCGTGCTTGACGAGTAGAACTAGGAAGGTTTGCCCGCACATACCAAGAGCAATGGGTGGACGGCCGGGCTTTGGAAAAGCATATCTACAAACACGCTACATCTTTGCAGCAGGTTTGAGCGAAGTACAATCAGCCTCAGGGACGAAGACTCTTTTTTCCCTCAAACAATATCCCTCGTTGTTCGACGGGGTGAAATGACGAGCTCTCTCCCAGACGCAACAAGTTGCAACCGAAAAGTAACAGCTCTCGCACGTCTCCAACCCCCACTTACGTCATCATCGTCCTCCTCGTCGTCATCATCGTCATCCGGGTCGTCGGAGTCGTTTTCCTCTCCCACAAACGCCAAGTCGCCGGCGTTCTTGCCCTCGCCCCGCTGCTTCTTGAACGCCCAGCCCTTGAATTCTCCGCTGATGTCAGCATCGCCTGCCGCGTCGGGGCTTGAAGAGGCGAACAGAGCGTCTGGGGTGGAGGAGTAGAAAGCGAGGGACACCTTCTTGAGGCGCCGACCGGCCTGCAAACCAGCAAGGAAGATTAGACGTCATCTGATGCAGGCTAAATAATTGTTCTCTTGCAGAGCCCTTCCAAAGCAGTCACAGAGGGGTCAGGCTCCAGAATGATAGATACAACGACGGAGCAGAAGAATTCAAACCAATGGAAAGTGCCATATGTCAGACGTGTCTGCAAGGAGCCTCATGGTTATCTTGCGTCCTCACCTCCTCTTGTAGTAATGTGGAGTACGACCCACTGCTGAAATCTGCGATGCTGACTTCCGCTGTTTTCTGCCGTACCGTCAGGTCCTTCTCTAGGGAAGCTACGAACCTGCGGGACAGGAAGCCACAGCTTTGAGTGTGACAAGAGCTGGACACCGTGCTCAGGGAGATTTTTGTCAACTTTCAACACAAAAGTTTTGGAGGGTTTTGATGGACGGCTCTAACCCTTGCTCACACCCGTGCGGACGAATCAATGTCGCTGAAAGAGTTTGCTTGGTCAAGGGTTCGCAGGAAAAAAATTGCTGTAAACTGATTTTGCCAACAGTAAACTTGGTCGGATTTCAAGCAGAAAGCCTGGCAACATCACATTACAATGAACAATCGGCCACTATCTCAAAATGTTTCAAAAGCTAGAGTGGTCTAGCATGGGGTTCTGTCTTACCTAGAAACGGACGGGCAGTAGTGGTGCCGCAAAGTTTCTATCTCCCATAGCGAGCTCTCTGTAAAGGAGAAAGTAGCAGGTCGATAAAGGCAGACATCAGCACCTGACAGGTTCGGCAAAAGCAGAAAAGACTGGCAACGCAGCATTTTCACAACAATAGGCAGGATGTATCCAAAGTGAGCATCGATTGAAATCCTTGTGCAGAACCTGCTCGGCACTACATCCACTATGATACGTATGGCTAGATCGACAAATTCTTTACTCCTGTAGAACCCCAAACTCAGCCAACGCTGCCTTTGACACATTCATGCATTGACGCTGCATTGGAGCCCTCACCTACGCTTCTCAACCTTCCGAGCAGTCCAGAAACTTTCAATCCTAAGAGATCCAGCTCGAAACTAAGGACCAACATTCAGAGGGACTCACTCAGAGCGTTGCACTTGGCCGTGTCCTTTTCCTCTGGCAGGAAGGGATCTTCCCCGTCTGCCTCACGCTCCTCCCCTCCAGGAGCTCTGTGCACCAGGACGTTAATTGACGGGTGCCTCCTGAGTAGGTTGTGCACGAACGCAATGACCAGGGCGCACCCGGCGGGGGGGGCAGAGAGCGCGAGGCGGGACATGCGCTTGGCAAAGGCAGCTGCGAGGTAGGCTGGGAGGAGGGGGGAGCGCAGGCACAAGTCCACTAGCTGCAGGTGAGGTGGGGAGAGGTTTCAAAACCTGGTTGCCTCCAAAATCGATCTAGACTTTTTAAAGGTTTGCGCCCTTAAAAATGAGCAGGTGCAACAAAATCTTCCAAGGCAGGCTCAGTGCAAAGGAAGCATCTCTCAAAGGTTCTGATTGTGCAGAACACAAGATACAACCCTAAGCGCTCCCTCAACCACGGAAGCAGCCACAGATGAGGTTTCATCTTGGAACAGACCAATCCCGAAAACATTTCAATCCGGGACTTAAAAGCTGTCGGTAGTACTGTCTGGGCCACATAGTGGCATACGAACGTAATGAGCAAACATACAAACGCGATCACAAATACCAAAGAAAACCGCCCCACCTCAAAGAAGCGCGCGCGGTACTTTGCCACAAAGATTGACGGCTCGAGCAGCGCATACAGCTTGTTGTAGAAGTCGGGGTACTCCAGGCCGTGCTGCGTGATGAGCGTGTACAGGCCGTCGAGTGACATCACGCTGACCACGCCGCCCAGGTTGTAGGAGTCGGTCAGGAAGTCACTCAGCAGGACGGGGTTGGGCATGAGCGGAAGGATGGTGCCGCGCAGCTTCACCAGGACCTGCAGAATCAGACCATATGAAGCGGTGAGAACAAGAACATCTACAACATTGGTTGTAAAAGTCATAGGCTTGCAAAGGGTATTAACAGATTTGCACTTCCAAGCCAATATTTTACATCGAATACTAGTGGTTGAAGCCTTCCAAACCCATACGAGCGAGGGAGGTTATTCAGTCAGCATGCTTTTGGAGACCACTTGAGGTGCCTGGAGTTTCAACCCTCGCTTCGGAGGTCTGAAGTGTTTTGGAAGAAGCTGATTTGAAGGGTGTGGCTGCAGGAAAGTTGCGCTTTGGAAGAAGAGGCCAGAAGCAGCCCCTCCACGCATGAAGCTTGCGCCAACTAAAACGCTTTTTCCTTCTTCACCCTTCAACTCTCCTCTTGAGAACTGCAATGCAGAGCTGGATCTGAGAACTCGAAGGAATTCAGGAAAGTAGGCCCACACGTTAAGATAGTGATAGACTGGGGGGGAAAGCCGTACCTTCTTGTACGCATCGACCGGCAGGGGCAGCTTGAGCATGGCGAGCCAACAGTCGGCCGCCACGCGCTTGCGCTTCTTGGGGTCAGTCCACCGGGGAGCAGCAGGGGCAGAGGGGCCAACTGCAGGAAGGAGACAAGGCAACATTTGGCAGGCGGAAAGAAAGGATTGACAAGCAGTAAGGTTTAGACATGGATTGCAGGCAGACTGATCAAGTATACAACACAAGCCTGTAACTCCTGAAAGAGGTTGGATGCTGCGAGACATCTGACACAAAGAACACAGACAGAACAAAAAGACGGCTGCTCAGGCCCTTGAAAATCGTCGCGAATTGACTTCTCGATGACCTCCTTCCTCTGTAAGGACTATTTATAGCAGTCAGGCCTGATAAGAGACCTCCAGAAGGTACCCTGTTCCTCTTAAGAAAACAATGATGGATCCATTTGAACCCAGGGTCATTTCCAGTCCAACAAAGTGATTGGAAGCTGCAAATCCCAGGGCCTCTGCAGCATCAACAAAGCATTTCTGACTTGTCCAACACAAGCTGGACTCTTACCTTCCGCTGGGGCCCAGGCCTGCATAGCTGTCTCGTTGTCCAGAGTCTTGAGCTCCGATGCGATGCCAAAGAGGAGGGTGGTCGCATGACGGGCAAAGCGGTGCAGGCTGGACAGCAAAGGTAGGGGGCAGTCTGTCAGCATAATGTTGAGGGGAAAACCCATGAAAAACACGATCAGACACCTACAGCCAAGCTCACAGGAAAGTTCCTCACAGGATTTGCAACCGACTGCATAGAAGTTAAGCAGATGGATATCAATTTCGGTTCTAGAATAGCGTAGATTGTTCTTGAAATTACGTGATTCAAAGAATCTTCGTACCTGATCGTCTTGGCTTCCTCTTCTGCCGCATTCCCTTTTGGCCCTGCAAAAGCAACCAAGGGAGGTCAAATGCTGCTCAAAATAGACGCTTACATTTAGACCCATGCTCAAGAGAGCTCCGACATTGCTTGCACGTCATGCAGAAACCACATTAACAAGACAGTCCACCAGAGAATGCATTCATGAAGGATGTTGCTCCACTTGGGGACTGACCAGCAATATGGGTGTGGTGGCGATCCGCGAGCTTCTGGATGTTGCTGTACAGGAAGTACCTGCAGCAAAAACAACCTCTATTGAGAAGATGAAAACTTCTTCTACACTATGCATACAGACTTTGTCTTCTTGAAGAAACAACATGTTGCTAACCAGAGATGCCGCTAGATGAAGGAACAAGCCTACAAAAAACCCTGTTCACCAGAGTCATGCAGAGCTTCTGCAAGCAACAAAATGCTCTGGCTGCATGCATCTTTGGACAAGCTAGCCACACAAGTTGGACAAAGAAATGCATGCCTGAGAGCTGACCAATCAAGGATGTAGCGAGGGAGATTGCTGCTTTTCTTACCTGATGTCAGCGTACTGTGCATAGCTCTTGATGGTGACTGCGAGGATGTCAGCAGTGCCAGCAGTGGAGATCTGCAAATGGACTTAGAGACGTCAGCAAAGGAAGGCGAAACTTGCAAGGCCAAAAGCAGCTACGCTTTATGTACTCAAGCTCAATCATTGGAAATTGAACAAGGCCAGCAAGCAAGAAAGGGGATTGGCACTCAACAAACCCTGGAAAGCAATCAGGTTATTCCATGGTTGAGAGAAGCGGATTGTCACCCTCACCAAAGATGTCACAACTTCCATGAAGAGGTCGTTGTTCAAGCCGTGTCCTTTCTCGGCCCTGGCAAGCTCCAAAAGGGCATCCAGTGCAGCCTTCTGCAATGGTAAGAAGTGCGGTGTTACAAATGGACCCTGCTCTGATCAAAACCTTGTATGAAGGCAGTGCCTTCACAGGTGGAAGGCAATGCCGACATGAACCCAAACAAGAGACTTAGGTTGTGGAAGAAGGGATTCAAGCAAGAAACAGACAGGAAGTGCCTCCTCCACTAGCAGCGTGGGTCTGCATTGCTCCTATATTATAGTATCTGCTTGTAACAGGCTTCTTCGGGTAGAAAGTACAAGATGGCACAGAATGGATTGTTGTCTTGGAACACACTCTCCCTTGTGGTAATGCAAGAATGAGGCTAGTGCTACATATTCTCTGCATGCATTAATTGGTGGAGACCGCGAGCAACAGGCACTCACAACAGCTGCTCTAAACAAACAATTCTTGAACATCCTGTCCCCAATTGTGACTACTCCGCAAACTCTTACGCTCGAACATCGAAAAGAATCAGAGTCTTTTTTCTGATTCGTTTCTGCAATCCATGCAGCATCAGGTGCAAAATCCATCCTCTTTCTCGACCATAAAACCAGCAATCAGGGAGCTTGAAGTGCAGCAACAGACCTGCAGAACACTTGCACTCCTATCCCGGTGTCCAACAGAACATTACCTAGCGATGAGCCACCCGGGTCCTAATCATTATGCTGCGCTCCCCCACAGAGACATCCTTCAATATTACCAACCGCTAGAGCACTTCTTGAAATCTTCAGCAACTTGCAACCACTCGCTAAAGTGCATTATCAACCATTCCCATCATGTAGGGATCTGTGCATGGTGGAACAAGAGGAATCCAACACCACATGGTCTGCTTCCTGCATCCAGACTACTACTTGATGTGGTGGTTGGAGAGGGGAGACGGAAAGTCCTGGTCAAAGAACTTGCCTGAGCTGCCAGTGGTATGGTATCCTTCTCCAGAAGCCCCCGCAGGGACTTCACGAAGGCCTTGTAGCGAAGCTTCAGCCATCTTGCAAAGAGCCCATCAGCATCATCCTCTTGGGTAGCAGTTTCTTTCTCGCCAATGCATGATAGGAAGAAGACCTGGAGCGAGCGGGCTGCCTCGCAGAGGACTGTCTCTTTAGTTGAGGCAGCCAGAGTTGCAAGCAGAGCCACAGCATGGTTGGCATTAGCCCTGGAGGTAAGAAGTTCGGTCCCTAGCCTGGCTGTGACCCCTGGGTCATCCACAACATGGGCCACCATGGCGAGAAGCCTCGAAACCACACAAACCAGCTGAAAGCAGCCCAAAGCTTCTTGAAAGAGGTTTGGGGGGACGGAAGAAGACTTTTGGGGGCTGGGGAAGGTCCTGAAATGGAAGAAGAGAATGGGGAATGGCCAGGATGGCCAAGTTTTTGAGGAGAAGTGGAAGCCATGGCTTCCCTTTCTCCTCTCCACCCCTTGCCCTCAACACGAGTGCAGTGGTCTTGCCAAATGCAAGCCTGCCTAGCTTCCCTGCTTGCAATCTCGATGCGCGAGGTTTCTACCTCGCGCACGTGGTTGTTGGCGCAGAAAATGATGCCGATAACCATGACAGTGATAACCCGTCTCTTTGTGGCCCCTCTCCAAGTCTGATCGGTCCGATGAGAACCATCGCCGTATCTACGACGGTGTTCGAGCATCGGCCGTATGATTATCCAGAGAATTTGTCTTTTTGATGATGCGAGTCAAGCTAAACCCACGTTCTGTACTACGGCCGCCAACTGTACATGGACCCGTACGTACCGGAGCCTTGACGATAGGTACCTGCTCACGTGGGTCTTGATCGGTACACGTACCAACCGACCGGTATTTTGCTTTGCACAACGAAGCTCTTGTATCAACTGAGGACCGAGGAACCGCAACCGGGGATGGCGCAATGCATTGCATGACCGATCGACCTCGTCGGCCAGGCCGAGCAAATGCGGTACCGCACCATACCGGTATGCATGCCATGGTGGCCCTTGAAGAGGTACACCAGTCCGGTCTCCAGATCACACTGCAACTTTCCATTTTGACGACCGTACTTTCCAACCGAGCAGATCGACGGTTATTTTCCTTCGCTCGAGTCCATCGATGTTCACAATCGGCTCCTCCCTGGCGAAACGGGTACTTTTTGGCATATCCTGGGCCCTGGCCGAGGTGTTCGTACGGCACAGTTGAAATTGGTACCGGTAGCCACTGCCTACGTGCCTACAATACCGTATTCATTACTCAGCGCCTAGGGATTCTAGCTTAGTGAACAGCAAGCCCAGTGAACAGTAAGCATTTTGGGGTTACTAAAAACCCTAACCTAAAGAAACACCCGCTCCGCACCCGTACCCACCCTAACCCCCTAACTAACCCTACCCGTCTCCGTTACTGTTCACTGCCTGTTACTGTTCACTACATCGATCGGAATGGGATTCTGGAACCTGGTCAAGCTGGCCGGTATCCAGGTACCGTATAAGCAGGACATTGAGCCGGTCCGAATCTTACAATCGAAGGGTACATCTCTATGGACGGCCCCTAGATGCTCATAGCCTCTACTCGTATCGGACGGCTGGTGCCTGTATGGGGTGCAAGGGTACGAGCTGATGTCTGGTCCAACTATGAGGTACGTACCATGATAGCCAAGAAGCTAGGCGCTTATGCGAGGCACCGCGCTTGTAAAAATCTTAACGCTCAAGATTCAGCACCAGCTTCGTACAATCATTATCCATATATGCAGTGTCAAGTCCGTTAACAGTTCTCCTTGAGAACCCTAAAATCTGCAAGGGACTGCTGGTACTGGTGCCATTCCAATGCCAGACTTCGATATAAATTATTAGATGGGTCTCTTGTCCATTTCTTGATAGATATGGACGTAGATATGGACGTCACCAGAGGTCAATTCAATACAGAAGTGCGACAATTTGTTGTTTGACGCCCCATTGCGTCAATGTGCTGCAGGCTGTCGTCCCAATTTCTGTGAAGGTCTACACATATACTCGTACACCAAAGAAGCATATGGGAGCTTGTGAGGGATGGAGGATCCATAGATGCCGATTCCGAAACTGGATTTCAACACATGCATTGACCGATCAGTCTGAACGCAGAAGAAGCAGACATTCCATGCAGCAGAGTGGTGTTGATCCCTGGATAAAGAGACCAGCAGCAGATCATCTTGTCGATGGAAACATAACGAGAGAACGAGCTACAGCAAAGACCTCAGATCCAGATATCAAGAGCAATGGCGGCCTCTGGAAAAGCTGGGCCCGCTGGATCAAAGACAATGAGTACAGATGAGAGCGGGCTACAACTGCTGGCGCGAATGGAGCAGGATGTCGTTGGCAAATGTGCCAAGCTTGGAAGAGAGCATCTTTTGGTACGTAGCTGCCGGCCTTGCCTGTTCACAGTCATCTGCTAGAATTCTTCAGTCCTATGAGAGAGAATGAGGAGTGAAAGAACCTGCTATCAATGGTCTAGGTCCTGGACTTCCGCCCTTGCTTTCGTCCACCCAATGCACCTACCCTTCAAGCATAAGTACTATGTTGCTGAGGGGCCATAATCCTTGCAGCTCTCAGAGAGTGCACCACATCATTGGGAATGCAGTCTGGACACAAGCTCGCTGTCACTGCTCGTAATAGCTAGTGCATTATCCATGTGATGATCTGCAGCCAGGTAACTAAGGAGCACAATCAGAGGCTGTTTTTTGAGCTTGGGGGCTGCGTGACGCACTCAGCATGGGACACAAGCATCGTATTGGCCAGTGCGCCTACTTACAGGTTTCAGGAGGGTGACACATGTGCAGATAATCAAAATGTTGCATATCCACTTACCTGCTGCCTTGATTAGTCCTCTTCTTTCCCACAAGGACCATGTAGCTGCACGCGCGTTGATACATAAGCTCGCAGCCAGCACTTACATCTGGACCAAAGAAGTCCAGCTATGTACTCTGCGCACGAGAAACCCCACTCAATGCGAACTCACCGTTTTGTGCCTTCTCAAACAATATCTGGTGTCCGTGCTCAGTTCAGGACACCGTTTGCTCACGTCTATTTCAGGTGGCCAAGGCGTTCGAAGCCCTGGCCCTCAAATACAACGGGGTGGCGATGCGCCTCACAGAGGAGGGCCAGTTCCAGACAGCGCATGCACTGCTGACGAAAGCGGAGCTGCTATCTCAGCAGGTGGGGCTCGGGCACTCTAGTATCTCATTGACCTGCCAGAGAGACGGCAACTTACACGTCTCCTTCATTTTCCTCTTTCCTTTCTCCAGGTGCTGTGACAACCTGAGAAATGGCGCTCAAGATATTGGATTGTCAAAGATGTAAATCATACGCGATTGCTGGACACTTGAAGTGGCAGGTTCACGTCAATTGGAAGAAGCTCTAGAGTAGACTTTGTGAGAAACTTAGTTGAAGTTGTGGTTGCAGTATGTAAGAATGGAGTTACTTTTGCATTGAAGTTCGTGACTGCTTCTAGTGAAACTACAACCAGAAAGGCTCGTATTTGAGTTTTGAGTGCCATTAGGGGCCAAGTAAACTTAAGGGGCGTAAGCATGGCAACTGCCAGACCTGCAAAAACTAGTTTCTAGTGCTTTCTGCAGTGACAACTATACGACTCCAGATCGGTCCTCTAGCAAGCAGGCAAATAAGACAGAAGTCGCACATCAGCCAGTTTCAAATTCCGAGGCCGAGACTACAAAGAAACTCAATACCTGCAGGACCCCTGCATCTAGGACAATTGAGCGATTCGTCTTTCTTTTCGTTACGGAGAAGCCTCTCTTCCTTTCGCAGGCAGCCCCCCCCGAGCGGGCGGCCTCCCAGGCCAAGCTACTGGGGGTAACCGTCAGCAACTTTGGCTGCTTCTACCAGAAGACCGGGGATCCCTACCGGGCGCTTCAATACCTGGAGAAAGCGCTGGCCATTGAAAGCGTACCGGGCAGTATGGGCAACCCGGCAGGAACCCTCCTCAACATCTGTGCAGTGCTCAGCTCATTGGGGCGCCATGAGTGAGTCATCGACCGTTCTTTGCTCACTTCGGCTCTTCCTTACTGCTTCCATTAATTCGTTTACCCAAATATTTCTGTCGACCGTTTCTGGTTCCTGGTCATGGCACTTTTTGCAACGTGTGTCTCTTCTTGAGGTTCTGGCTCGGATGCACTTGAAACCCAACGGGCTGCCTCGAGAGGAAATGGATAAGTCTGACGGGGTCTGCCAGAAAGAGACGGTTCGGAGCGCTTTCAGAAGCTCTTTTCGAAGTGTCAGATTGAAAGCGTGCAACCCAACAACGCTTGGTCTGCTTCTGTTCTTGTGTCGGCCCCATCTCCTCCCGCTCTCGCCAATGATTTGTATGAGGAAACAAGAGACAGAGCATGTCGACATAAGTACCAGATCTTCGCGTCTTCTCTTCTCAGGAAGGCGCTCGAGCACGCACAGCGTGCTATCCGCCTCTTGACGGTCGACTGCGCCGCGCTCGTTACGAACGCACGAAGCACTCCGGCCGTGACTACACAACACCCCTCATCGAATGGCCAAGACGCTTCACACGGAAATTCGTCATCAGACGGCTCAAAAAGCCCCGCATACGACACCCCTTCGAACGCCCCAGCAGGGCCGTCAGAAGAGGAAGGCGCGGTTGGAGCGGCGGCAGAAGCTGCTGACGTCAGCGGCCGTGTGCGCGATGACGTCAGCGGAGAGAGGCGCACTTCGCAGGGGCGGGCGGGGGTGCTGGCGGTGGCGTATCACAGCCTGGCTGTGCAGCAGGTTAGGACGCTTGCTTGAAGAAGAAAACCGATCTTTGCGTGTGCGCAAGATTCACGTAGATGTAAAATCCTTGTAAGCGGGGTGCAAGGCACGTCCGCCCTCGCGACGTTTCGATCACGATAGACTCGGTAAGAGGTGTTCTCTTCGGTGGCCTCTCTTGTTCGTCCCACGGCTTCTTGCATTTTCCGTACAAAAGCGGGCATTTCTTTCTCAGAAACACATGGGAGCGGAAATCACGTATGCAAAGAGTTTGAGGGGAGGTTGTCTTAGATGTCCAACTAGCGATGCGAAAATGGAAGCCAACTCGTGAATGACAGCTGCCAAGTGTACGTTCCCTTTCGTCGTTTTTCTTTTCCTAAACGTTCTCGATCTGAAAAGCTCGCATGCTCCCTAAGTCTTCTCGGCTTCCTGAATTCCAAAGTGCTGACACGTCTTCAAAACATTCTTCAGGAGTTCCTGCACGCGCTTGAAGACGCCCACGTGTCCTACCGCCAGGCCGTCCACGTGGCAGACTCCTGCTGGGGCCCTGGCCACGGGATGACGCAGACGTTGCGCGCCAGCCTGCTAGACTTTGCGAAGAAGCAGCGAACAGACTCTTCCGGCGGAAAGCAGCACCGGAATGGAACTTCTCGCAAGCAGAACGGGGCGGCGGAGCTGTCACGAAGCACTCCCCCAAGCACAGGCCCCGTCTCGAGGTCGCCCCAAAAGAGTGACGCGGAAAAGAGGCACTGGGAATCGATCCCCCCCAGCCCACGGGGCCTCCGAATTCAGCGGTGGTTGGCCGACGAGAAGCGCCGGGGTTCAAGCAAAGCCTCCGGAAGGCCCCGCAAGTCAACGCGCGCGCACGCGCCCATGGGGCCGCGTCCGGGGAATTACCCCGGGCGGTGGTCGAAGAACCCGGTTGGCCAACGGGGGCTTCTGGTGGAACGATGGGCGAATCACAGGGGCCTTGCGACGACGCCACATTCAAGACCGTTGAACGGATGTCCGGCAACGGTAGCAGCAGTCCGCAGGAGCGTTCCGGCGGACACCGGAAGCAACAGAAGGCTGCCGACCAGTCGCGACTCGGAGGCGGAAGCAGCGGCTTTGTTTCCAGTGGAAGACAAGGCGTCTCAGCAGGCACTAGGGAGGGCGCACATGCGAGATGTAGAAGCGCTCGGTCTGGAGTCATTGGGTTCGTCGTTTATGGGTGATGATGCGGAGGGGGGTGAAGGAGATTCAGAGGATGAGAACGGAAGCTTGGAAGCTATGGACGGAGACACGAGGCCTGCGAGGCCTGGGACAGCGCCAGCATTGGAATCGCGGTCGCGGGAATCATTCTGTGCCAAGGGACTTACGGTGCAGACCGTTAACGATTCTCAAGAGGGACAACGTGCGCTGATCACGTCTGGGGCATCAAATTTGCTAAGGCGGCCCAAGACGGCACCCTCGGGGGAAGCCTCGAGGAATGTGACGAGAGTTAGTCAAGAAACCGTCGCATGTACTTGGGGCGGCTCAGATGAGAGAGGCACCAGACGCGGCAAAGTGAGGTCGCTCAACGCCTTACAGCTGCCGAAAGGGCGGAGCAAAAGCGGGCGGGATGAGTTCCCGAGTGCTCGGTCTCCAAGCGCTCCAGCGTTGCAGAAGTATCTAGGGAGTGCAAAACCGGAGAGCATCTTTGACTCTCGTCCAAAGGGGCCACCGGTGAAGGATAACGACTACGCTTCCATAATCAGGAACATGGCAACGCTTGTGATGAATTTCGACGGAAGTTAAGCAATGCTTTCATGACTTGCACTCCTGGCGCCGCCTGCAAGGTCTGCCCAAACCTTCTTGCAGTCCGGTCCGGTCGTCTATCATCGCACGTATACCGTCGTGCTCAATAAGCTTCTACGTCTACGCTACAGTGTTGTTTCAGGGCTGCGGGAACGAAGGCATGGCATACCTCCTCCAAAGGAGACTGGCCGCACATTCACCGAGGAAAACCGCTTCCAAGGCCTGTCTCGCCGGTACACCCAGCTGGCAGACGGCCTATGTACCGAGAGTGCGCCGACTGAGTTAGGCGGCCGCACGGCGGCTATGCATGGTGCCACGCATTACACATCATGCTAGCTGGCCCGCGCTGCGCATGGGATTTGCTGCAACCATTAAGTTGCGCTGGCAAGCTATAGCGTCTAGCTAGTATAGCCGTTGGCCGGCCACGCTTCGCAGATGGGCTCGGATTTCATCTACATTCAGAGTCACATTATACATGAAAGATCATTTGTGTTATAGATGGCTGTCCTGCATGATCCAATCGACGCAAAACAAATGAGATATCATGCACGTGCAATCAGTCGAAAAACCATGTCTTGCACATATGAGCTAGGAACTTAACATGATCAATGGCCCGCGGGCCCATGCATCAAACATATAATGGTGGGGTCGCGAAGGGTCACATGATCGGACGGTGTGTAATAATTCTTCATAACTGTGTCCATTGCTGCAACTACAATTGCATGTGCAATTCAAGCATATAACGACGACGGTGCCAGCAGTCGGATCGTAATTGCGCGGCCGCGTGCCGCACTTGTACACGAGATACCTACGGTGCTTTATTAGGCCTATCCTGGACCCGGAGGTCGCAGCGTCGCGGTGAAAATCGCGGACGAAAGTCGCAGAAAGTCGCGGAAAGTCGCGGAACATCGCGGAGCATTGCAAGCATCTCAACACAAAACTTACTTCAAAACATGTTCTTCAAAGGTTTATAAAGTCGCGGTGAAGGTCGCGAAGTTCGCGGAACGAAGTCGCAGAGCAGTCGCGTAAAGTCGCGTAGAATCGCGGAAAGTCGCGCAACGTCGCGGGCAACTCTGGCAACCTCCAGGCCCAGGATAGGCCTTTTATTTGATCCTCGTGAAATGCCGCAATTCACGAGGGTCGGTACCGGGTCCGTCCCAGGGCCGCCCCCGGGAGATCCCAAACAGTAATATTTTCGCATGGGGATTTTCGCCGGACCGTCGTGGGACTGCGATAGAGTCTCACGGGCAGCCAAAGTTTGGCCGCAAGTCTCGGTTTTCGATTTCGATACCGGGAAATTGAAAAGTATTTAACGGGAAGAACTACCGTACGGTACATAGTAGGTACCTACTCTAGGCTCCCTAGTACCTACCTACCGGTTTCTACCTAATACCTAGGTACTAGTCTGAGTACCGGCTACCTT